ATTTTGTGTCTACATTGCTCCTCTCCTCCAGTCTCGTAATCTCTTTTCCTCTGAGCTTTTATTCTCAGACTACCCCCATGCCCACAGAGTCCTGCGATCTCCCAGACTCTTTCCCCGCCTTCAGGGTCTTGCTCCACCAGTTGCCACTTAATTGTGTTAGGTCCTCTTATCTCCAATCAGGTTCCTCCAATGTTCCTGAGTTGTTGATGCTCTTTCCACATACAAAGAGGACTACAGGGAACAGGCTCTCTCTTTCCACATTTTTCACCTTTTCCAGGTTCTCTGTGCTTTACACTCAGATTTTCTACGTTGTTTGTCCTGCCATTTTGCCAACTGCATGTGGCCGGTCCCCCACATTTTCTTCTCATGCATCTCTGCTCAACTTTACTTCGCCTGTCTCTTTGGTGACCACATTCCCACTTCTAAAGTGCAATTCCAGGACAACTATGCAGATGCTTATCCCCAACACTTCCTTGCTGAATCCCAGATGCAGCCTCGCACCTTGGGCCTTTTAAAGGTACAAGGGAGAAATCATGGGGAAACGCTTTTGTTTTTGAATCCTGAATTGCCCATGCCCTGGAACTCCCTTGCTTCCCACCTCTTCTCCCCAACCTCTGAGCAACATCACTGCCCCACCACCCTCAATTCCCTCATCTCTTTAAGCATCCTCACTTTCCCATACTCTGACCCCCTTCCCTCACCACCTGCTGCATCTGTGCTGGCCAGCCATTCTTCTGGCTGCTTTAGCTCTTGGAGAAGACTTCACTTCTAGGAATCCTTGAAACCTAAAACTCATAACTCAACTGGGAGCTCGATTTACTCACACTAGTGGCTTTCAGAGACATTTGGTGTCCTCCACCCCCCACAAGCTCATTCACTTGAGCCCATTCAGTTTTCCACTAGCTCCATACCCACACAGAAAGGCAGAGAGAGTTGGTTGGGAGAAGGTACCGGCCTGGTGGGGGGGGAGGGGGGAAGAGAGTCACACATGCACCCACAGCAGGGTAGGGAGTTGGGTCACAGCAGAAGGGTACCCAGGCCTAAAGGGCAGAGATAGACAGATAGTGCTTCAACTGAAGTTTCACCAGTACTGAACAGACCAGAACAATTACCTCCTGTGTCTTTCATATGACACTCCTGTTAATACACTGCAAAACTACATTAGCTATGTTTAAACATTAGTTTATATATATTTAAAATTGCAGGATGAAAATCTAGAATGAAATACTGGTCTCACTGAAGTCAACGGCAAAACTTGCATGGACTTCAGTTGGGCCAGGATTTCACCCTTTACGTTTTAGAGCTCATCTTCCAGGAATTTCCTCCATTATGAAACATTTTAAAGCTACCATTTTTGAATATTTAAATAGTTTACAGCTGCCTTGTGGGGTAAAAGAATTTTGTAAAAAATCACAGATGAAATCAAGAACCTCAATCTCCGATGACAGGCTCATATAATGGGTAACTACAGTAAATATTCCCTAATGAAAACAGTATAGGGTAGTTGCACATTTTTTACCTTTGAAGAATAATCAAGCTTTATTGAGCTTTTAAGTAGCAGCAAGAAATTACTAAATGAAGAAAGTTTATTTTAAAATTATTCTAATACATACATTTCACTTCGCAGGTTAATGCAAATATTGCCTAAGAAGGAACATGGTCCAGCAGTAGTGATTCAAGGTACTAATCGCAGACATGGCTTAAAGTTCAAATATAAAGGGCAAAAATCTAAAATCATGCTGCTCTGAATAACAAAGGTAAAATATTTTTTTTAAAGTTAAAACAATTAAAATTTGTTTAAAATTTAAAATTGTAACTAAAAAAATCTATTTTAATTTATTGCTGTGGGCTTCTGTCTGTACTGTGGGTGCTTTGGTTCAAGGTAGAGATAGTAACCAATGAAGTCCAGGTCCAGATTTCCTCAGAGTTTTACAGTACACAGATCTGAGGCTTTAGTCCATGCCTATCTCTTGTTCAAATCACTCAGTCTTTAATCTCATGAAAGCTGTATGCTCAGCTAAATTTAGGGGAGTTAAATGCCCTGCACAGTAACAAAGAAACACTAAAATTACTTCCCTTCAGACCCCAAGGCTCTCATGTTCTTGCACTAGTTGGGGTGCTCCTAGGTTCTGCAGAGAAGTCAGAGACTTGCCCATTCCCAAACAAACACTGGAATTCAAGGAAATAATCTCCATGGTCAGTTACCAAAATAAAGTGTGGGGTGGGTGGAAACTAACGTCAAAGGGAGAAGTGTCAAGCAAGCTTCTGTGTTTGTACTGGACAGTAAATATTAATCCTTTATTATTATTTTTGTGTTAAACTCGATTTCTTGACCAGAAATCCCAAAAACTTGTGTTAGCCAAAGGTGCTGGCTACACTGTTAAAGAGGGTTTTCTTTCAAATAAATGAACATCTTCGTCCTAGTAGGCCTGTACTCTATTGTCTACTGTTTTACTTAGAACATTAGCTGCCCCTAGCGCATTATCAATAATACTAAATTTTAGCTAGACCTTAGTGTGTTGTTAAATAATGGATTGTGTGTCTTTTTTACTCTAAACTCTTGACCCTTAAAGAATGTCCAGGAAGGAACCACTTGTAACCTACACAAGGCAGATGTTTTCAGCAATTAATAAGATCATCATCGAAAGAGGCTTTAAGGTTATCAGGAATTACTGTAACAGATGATTTCTATCATAATGACTTGATTATAGATATATATTGTAATTGATAAAATAGTGACTGGTTGAACAGATGTCTTTAGCTTATCTATTATGTAAATCATATACCATGACATTTAGAAGTCTACCATCAATAGTTCATTTTCTTTCTCTTTTCTGTGAATACAGTCTATAAAGACATACCTGTTATAGATATATGTTGTAATGGACAAAACAGTGCAATTGATAAGTGATGCTCATAAATGCTCTGTAATTGTTTTACAAAATGGATAAGGGACACGTGGTATGTATGGATTAATATCCAAGTATTAAGAGCTAATTATGGTCACACATGGTCCCAATAGTGATAAACTGGTTACAAATATTACTGGATTATTGAATCAAAATAAGATCAAGCATAATAAAGGATTTTTCTTTGTTTTGAGCAGTATATAAGGGGTGAGTTTTGGGGAGTTAGTCATAAGTGAACTCAAGTACATTACCTCACTTCTCCAGTCTCAGATTTGGTATACGTTTCCTTTTCTGTATTCTGCATAGTGCTGTAGTAAGTATTGTTTGATTGTTTTACTTAAATAAAACTTCAACTGAGTTAGTTATTTGACTTCATGACTTATTAAATCTGAATATACATCATCATCAATGGTCAGGGTCTCAAAATTGGTAGAAATTTGGTTGCACAGCAGAACCATACGGAACTGTTACACTCACACCTTTCTTTATCCATTGTTTTCTGATCAGACCATAGCTGCTGTCATGGTTCAAAAGCTAGTTGCACCTCTGTCTCCTTTCAGGTCTGAGTGCACGCCTGCAGGCATTAAGCCTTGTATTTTTACCTATCACAAGGTGGGATTGCACAACTCTCCCACTCTTAAACTGGGCCCTGGGGTACAGTATCCTGTATATCAACTGTTATTATCCTACAGGCCCAACTGAGTTCAGGGACCTGTGGTTCTTCCCTTAAGGAGTTTGTGACCAGTGGCATATAGTGACAAAACAGCCTTAAAATCAAAGTTTTGTTTATTTTAGCAGTAAGAACAAAGCTTTTAGGGAAAAAGATTTTAAGATAGACATACATGTAGAGTGTATATCTTATCTAAAATCTTACCATCTCCTGCTGGTAACCCAGGCAGGTGTAACTTCTTTGTACATCCCCAGTGTGGATTGTGTATCTCTGTTTCCCCTAAACTGCTGCAGCCTCTCTCTTGAGGGTGCCCCTTTTAATCCTCCCAGAGTTGCTTTATTCTTTTGTATTTGTGGGCCTTTTTCTGTCCAGGTCAAAACCACTGTTATAGGTTGGCTGGAGATAGAGGCAAAATCATCAAAACTAATAGTTCTTGTATTGTCCCTTAATTGTCTTGTTTGCTGAGAGGTGACTATATTTGGCCATTCTTTTCTTTCCTGCTCGTTTTTCCAGACAGTCCCCTATTACACTAAAAGCAATACATTCATACTTTAAGCATCCCAGGAACCAGGCCAACATACAGTATTTATAAATTGTCACAGGGCACCTCCATATCTGTCACTGATGCCTCTATTTGTTAGCTTGCAGAAGGCCCAAGCAAGATTGTCTCCTCAATTCCCCCAGGCATTTTCAGAGGGCAAAAAGTAGGCAGAAGCATCTGGCATCATCTCACCTTCCTACTCTGAGGTCATTACCGTTCTTTTCTGCTCCTTAGGACTTCTTCCCTTGTCTGTCCCTCCAAAATGTCTTACCCCCCCGCCCCCATTATTTCACCACTTATTTGCTTATACTGCATCACCTTCCTTCCTTTCTCTGCTTCCCTTGTCCAGAATTTTCCCCTTCCTTTCTCATCTACTCCCCATCCCTCTGGAGTCTTCTCCCAATCACACACCATCACATGCTCCTTTTGGGGGTGGGTGTGTGTGTAAGGGTCTGTCTTCCCTGCTGTTGCAGTGAGACAAATGATGAGGGTTCCGGCAGAGGGGCAAATAAGGAACAGTCTCTGTGGGCTGCTGAACAGCTTCAACAATTCCTCAATGCAGGAGATAATTTGGACATGTGATTTGCTGAACAAGAAACCTAAATAAACATTCCAAAAAATTGACATTTATTTCCTTTTACAAAAATACATATTTTCAGTCAAGTGGTAATAGGCTGACATAATTGGTGCCAGTTTACACGGTTCTAAGATAGCATAGAGTGCTTCAGTTAAATATTTAAAGATAAAAAGAAAAGGAGTACTTGTGGCACCGTAGAGACTAACAAATTTATTTGAGCATAAGCTTTCGTGAGCTACAGCTCACTTCATCGGATGCTGCATCCGATGAAGTGAGCTGTAGCTCACGAAAGCTTATGCTCAAATAAATTGGTTAGTCTCTAAGGTGCCACAAGTACTCCTTTTCTTTTTGCGAATACAGACTAACACGGCTGCTACTCTGAAACCTGTCATATTTAAAAGATAATTTACCAGAGTAATGGCCACTTTTCAGTTTCAGGGTTAGAAATGCTAGTCATCAGTTGTGCAAAACAAATTGCAAGTTAGAGATTAATTAATGCCATAGTGGTATAATTTAAATGACAGTCTTGATACAATTTGTTAAACTACCTTCTGATCACGAATAATTTTATATAAACTGTAAGAATATTAAAATACATATTTTCTTAAAAATAACAATGTGACCGTTTATACCTAAAGACATTTTTAGAAAGATAGTATGAAATATTTATCATACAAAGGCATTTTTTCCATAGCAGGATTGCAATGTCACAAGACTTCTTATTCGACTTATTCAAAGTACGTAAAGCAGAATGTTTTGATAATTGTGAACCACTTGTCATTTAAGAGTGTACAGTATGTACTGTATTTATTTGTACATCATGGCTTCATCTTATCCTGCTTGGAATAGATCCTCAAAGTCACTCTTTGCATGCAGAGCAAATGTGCACTTTTTATACCAGTCTTAGTTTTCTTGGTTTAAAGTGATCTAGTGGCAACATATTCTTGTTGCTTAATATAGAATGAAAAATGGTTATTTATGCATATTTACTGTATGCATGTATTTTAAGTAGCTTCACTGTGCTGCAACCCCTTCTGGATATAGTCTCAACAATCCATAAGATTCCTTCAGCTGAAAGTAATATAGTCTCCTCTCTCCTGCCCCATTTCCTCCTCCTAAAAAAGAATCATTTCCTGGCAGGAGAGAGAAGCACACCATAAGATTACTACTACAAAAATCCTCAACTACAGTGGATTCTGTGCCAGCTAGCACTACTGACATCTATTACAGGATGAGCAACAGTAACATTAAACTTGGTATATTTAGTAAGCAACACTGTATATTTTGTGATGAAGACTATATAGTTAAGACTGATTAATGGAAACTTAAATCCTGAATTTCAGGAGTTCAGCTTTAAAATCATTTTAATTGTTCAATGATAAAAATACAGCTAATCTGAGGTTAGCATTAATTAAGGCCTGTGAAGACAATCACCCATTATCTCACTTAAATGGACAAAGTTAAAGGAAAATATACCAGTTTCCTCTTTCTTAGGATACATTTAACAGATGCCTTCTTTTCTGTGCAGAGACAGACGTAATATAATAATTGAAAAAAAGAGTAAAAAAATAAAACAAGATTAATGGCCAATTTAATGCTTTCAATTGTCTCTGCTAATAGCAGTTCTATAAATCATAAAATTGTAAACAATGATTTACCAACAAAATTCCTCAACTATTATGTACTTCATCCAAGCCAAAAACTAACTGCCAGGCTATTGTAACATCAGATGAAAAATATCTAAAGAAAGAAGGCATTAAAAGCAATTAGATATTACCTTAAATGGGACAGTCTCTTTACAAAGCCAAGGTGAACGTTGCTTCCCCCTGAGTTAACAGGAATGTGCACAGCAGCACCAATTTAAAAAAACATTCTGCAATGCCAGCATTGCACTGTGGTCCTGCATGTTTCATAATTTCACATACCCACAGGTTTTTCATAAGAGCACTTGGTTTTAAACATAATGAACACAAATTCTTTAGTGCCATCAGGATTTAAGTGGAACCCTGTAGGTTTCTATTTTAAAAGAAAAGCTAAAAATTGTTTTTCCACTATTACTACTGTCAATTACAGGTGTTAATATACCATTCACAGCTCCATTCCATTGATCTCTGCCAGTCTCTTCTGTGAAGCTTTGAAATATGTTGTGTGTTTGTGACATAAAATCCTAATAGAAATCATGTTGTACCAGTTTTGAGCAGAATATCCTGTAAATCATCTGGAAGTGCGAGTATAATTGCATCAATGTGCATCTGTAGCTTTTCCATAGTGTCAGGTTTCATGGGTAGATGTTCTCTGTCAGCCTGGAACTACAGGAGGCACAATTAAACACTTTTTTCAATAAAAAACCTGCAAGTGAATTTAATCTTCATAAAAGAAATCAGACTAATGGATCTGAAGTCCTCCATCTAATGAACAGGTACGTGGACAGTGGGAATGCAAGCTTCCCCTCATACCACCAGCTTTTTTCAACCTTGATTTGGACAGACTTCCAGGAATCAAGGGAAGTTTGGTTTCCGGGTTCATTTAGGACTCAGTCTTGCTCCTATTGGAGTCAATGGCAAAACACCCTTTGGCTTCAATGGGAGCAGGACTGAGCCCTTAATTTTTGGCATCTCTACTTAGATTGCCAACATCAGTAAGTCTAACTGGGTGCTTTGTCCCTCAAGGCATTGAGGGTCTGAGGCTAGCCAACCCTGATTACTGAATGAGCCACAAACGAGATCAGATGATTTTCCTACAAAGAGCAGCAGGAAGCCCAGGCCACTGCAGAGCGTGAGAAAAACTCCTGCTGGAAAGATGCTGACATCAGGAGAGTTTGGAGGCTAGAGACCAGTGAGTCGGAGGCTCCAATGGGAAACCCCTAATTGGGTATGGGCTTAGAGATCAGAGCCAGAAGGCTGAGCTCCAGCTTGGAAGAGATGGGACAACATATTCGGACAGAAGAAGAGCTCTGGCTGTGACAGAAGATGCCAGAGCTAAGTATTAACTTTTGGGTTGTCCTGATGGACTTTATTTTGGGACCCTGAGGATTGTTTTGAAATGTTTCTGTTATTAAACCAGCACTAGGCAGGGGTGGTGTAAACCCAGAGAAAAGCCTGTGTGCAGTTATTTCAGGGTCCCTGAAGAGAGGGAAACAGAGGCAAGTCACTGGAGAGCAACCTCTGGCCATGAGTGGGACACTTAGGAAGCCGTGGGTCCTGTTAAAGTGAGTTTTGAGCTGTCAGCTAGGCAGAGGACTGAAACAATCAATTAAACCATCTGAGTTCTGTTCACCCACCAGCCTTTTGGTTACTGCTGAACTGGGCCATCCACATTTGAATCAGTGACCTGGATGATCACCATAAATTTTCTGAGCTATCAAAATCTTGTGAGGAACATACAGTTCAATTTGAAGTAGATGTAAAACACACAAACACACTCACGCTATAATATGAAATGACAAATTTCATCTGTACTTACTATAGTTACATACCAGTTTATTCTTTAGCTTTAAGACAAGATCCACTGTTTCTACTTCAGTATGTTTCTGACTCCAGAGAAGCAAGTCCTTTCAGATAAAAATTCATAATTCTGAAATATTTACATATATAAACACACAGTACTTTCAACAATACCATTAATTTACTTTTGAAAAACTTCTATTATATTTAGAACATTACTGCAATATACTACTTCTCACTATTTATGCATTTGTCATCTTAGAGAAACACAGGCTGGTCAATTTCATTTTCCAGCTCTCCAGCATTAGCACACACTTTAGGTTCCAAATGCTGCAGAGATTTTTTATTTTTTTCAAGTGTTTCAAACTGGAATTTAACTTTTGTTTTTGTTTTTAGTTGAAATAAATGGTTCTGACAAGTGTCTCAATCTTTTTAAAGATTACAGTTGACAGGTGGCGAGGACAGAACACTTCTGAAACATGGAGCAAAGTTTTGATATCAAAAAAAATTTTATAAATCACTAAAAGCAAAAAATCGTACTTTTCTTACCTCATTACAGAGCGCTTCTAAATGGAGGACCTCCAACTTCTGTGTCATTTCCTTCCGCCGGGTCCTGAACCAGCCATTGAAGTTTGGAGATTTCAAGAAGTGTCTTTAATAAAAGAGTGCAAACAAATTTATATTTTAAATTGCATTCTCAATTCAATTCTTTCATTTTCCCCCACCATCAAGTCTCTTACACAACTTCACAAGATTGTACAGTAGTTTTGTTGTGGGGACGAGGAGGAGGATATAAATATCAATTAGGAGGTTTTCATCTTTCAGAAAAATTATTGATTCTGCTTGCGAAGGAAAGTTATGTAGTGGAACACTGATTAAAAAGCGTCACTACAGGTTTCTGTGTCCCTTCAAAAAAAACACCAAGAAGCCTTATGCTCTGAAGTCCTTATGAAGTCTTCAGGCACAAAGATACTTGTATTTAAAGGACTTGTCATTTTATTTGAAATGTTGATTATCGAAAACAATTTGATGTCCCCTGCCATTGTGCTTTGGCTAACAGTTTCCATTCTAATGAAAAGACAGGTGATTGAGAACTAAAGGGTTTAATTAGGATTATTGTTCTTGCTAGTTCTTCATGAGTTTAGGGGTTAATATAACAGCTTCTTTGACCTTGGGATTCTTACTTCACATATGGATAGGTATAGGAGTACTGTATAGCCATCTATTCCTGTTTATACAGATTATTCTTAATGATTTATATTATGATATTACCCAAAGGCCACCATCAGGACGAGAGCCTGATTATGCTGGGTGCTGTGCAAACATATGTTAGAGAGAAAACCTGTCCTGGAGGACCTCCCATCCAAAAGATAGAAAAATGGAGATATAACATACAAGGAAAATAAACATGGAGAAGGGTTAATACATTTTGGTTAGTTCCTTTTTTTAAAAAATTAGGGTAAAGGTACAGTGAGGACTGGCCACGTCTAAATGTGCGGGAGTAGGAAAAACAGACAAAGGGAGGGGCACTGGCCACGGCTCATCTGCCTATCCATGATCAGCAAGCAGGGTTTTGGAGGCATCACAGCAGAGGTGAGTGTTAAAGGGGCATGTGAAAGAAGATAAAGGTACTAGCTGTAATGATTATAGTAGGGATTTTTAAAAAAATGTATAAGGGGTGGTGTGGCAAAGATGCTTAAGGAAAAAGTTGTCAGATGGGCAGTAAAAGCTAAGAATTTCGGCAGTGCGAAGGCAGGGGGTTGGCTTATGAATGGGTCGTAAACATTTTCCATTTTTATGTATTCATCCTCTATCATATCTCCCCCCTTAGTCGTCTCTTTTCCAAGCTGAAAAATCCCAGTATTAATCTCTCCTCATATGGCAGCCGTTCCATACCCCTAATCATTTTTGTTGCCCATTTCTGAATCTTTTCAAAATTCCAATATATCTTTTTTTGAGATTGGGCGACCACATCTGCACACAGCATTCAAGATGTGGGCATACCATGGATTTATATAGAGGCAATAGGATATTTTCTGTCTTATTATCTATTCCTTTCTTAATGATTCCTAACATTCTGTTCACTTTTTTGACTGCTGCTGCACACTGAGTGGATGTTTTCAGAGAACTATCCACAATGACTCCAAGATCTCTTTCTTGAGTGGTAACAGCTAATTTAGACCTCATCATTGTATATGTATAGTTGGGATTACGTTTTCCAACGTGCATTACTTTGCATTTATCAGCACTGAATTTCATCTGCCATTTTGTTGCCAAGTCACCAAGTTTTGTGAGATCCTTTTATAGCTCTTCACAGTCTGCTTCGGACTTTACTGTCTTGAGTAGTTTTGTATCATTTGCAAATTTTGCCACCTCACTGTTTACCCCTTTTTCCAGATCATTTATGAATATGTTGAAGAGAACTGGTCCCAGATCAAACCCCTGGGGGACACCACTATTTACCTCTCTCCATTCTGAAAACTAACCATTTATTCCTATCCATTGTTTCCTATCTTTTAACCAGTTACCAATCCATGAGAGGACCTTCCTTTTTACCCCATGACAGCTTACTTTGCTTAAGAGCCTTTGGTGAGGGACCTTGTCAAAGGCTTTCTGAAAATCCAAGTACGCTTATCCACTGGATCCCCCTGTAGTATCAAAGCACTTATGATGTAAAAAAGATGGAGTGAAAGAGGTGCTTTACCGAGCACCTCTTGCTGGCCATTCCATCAGGAAAACTGTGCATCTTAACCTCCCATTTGAGAAGGTACTACAATTGCAGCCAAATTGATGGAAGAGATGTTCTGTGTACAAAATACATCCAGAATAAAAGACTGACCAGCATGAAACTACGAGATCCCACATTCAGCTATTTAGAGCTCCCTACTGAAAAGCTTTTCTTCCCATTTATCTAGTAATTTTTTAAATACTAGAATATAGTGCTCTATAACACTTTGCACTGTCATATGAAAACCATTAACAGGTGTCATAAACATACAACTAAGGGTAGCATAAAATCCCTCCTTTATCTGTAAAGGGTTAAGAAGCTCAGATAACCTGGTTGGCACCTGACCAAAGAGGAGAAGATACTTTCAAATCTGTGGGGGGAAGGTTTTTGTTTTGTGTTTCTTTGTGTTCTCTCTGGGTCAACAAGGAACCAGGACAGGGAAAATACATTTCCTAAAGCCATACCCGAACTAAGCATTTAAGATTACAAATTGTAAGTAATAGGAAGGAAATGTGTTAGATTATCTTTTGTTTTAGCTTGTGAATTTTCCCTGTGCTAAGAGGGAGGTTTATCCCTGTTTTCTGTAACTTTGAAGTTTTGCCTAGATGGGAATCCTCTATGTTTTAAATCTTATTACCCTGTAGAATTACCTTCCATCCTGATTTTACAGAGGTGTTTATTATAAAGAAAAAAAGGAAAAGAAAGTTCTGTTTAAGAATCTGATTGGTTTTTAGTGTCCTAAAAACCCAAGGGTCTGGTCTGTGCTCACCTTGTTTACCTATCTGGTTGGTAGATTCTCAAGCCTCCTCAGGAAAGGGGGTGAAGGGGCTTGGGGGAATATTTTGGGGAAATAGGAACTCCAGGTGGTCCTTTTCCTGAATCTTTGTCTAACTAACTTGGTGGTGGCAGCATACTCATCCAAGGACAGGGAAGGATTTGTGCCTTGGGGAAGTTTTTAACCTAAGCTAGTAGAAATAAACTTAGGGGGTCTTTCATGAAGGTCCCCACATCTGTACCCCAGAGTTCAGAGTGGGGAGGGAACCCTGACAACAGGTTACCCAGAGGGGCATATCTAAATGGATATTTAAAGTTTGCTAGTCATTATGAATTTGTTTGATTAGACACGAAGAACTATGAAAATAAATCTGCATAATATTCAGTTATAACAACAATTAGATTTGCCCCCCAAATAAAAAGGGCATGTAACGTGTTATGCATCACTGTATTTACATACAAATTGGTGTCTTATTTTAAAAAGTGACCTGTAAAGTCCAATCCAGTCTCCCTTTAACCCAGAGGTGAGCTGTGGTCCTGCTTTCTCAAGTGTTTTCATAAATTCTTCTTGGCTGAATTGTCTCAACTGTGGTGGACTCTACAAAAGAAACCAAGTTTTTGGAAGCTTACAGTATGAGTTTTCTTTAGTCACAAACATTTTCAGCTCATTTGAGGATTATTTCCTTACCTTCCATGGAGATATGCTTTTTTGCAGAGGCATCAGGCTTGCCACATAACGTTCCTGAGATGGAAGAAAAATAGTTTAAGAAAAAAAATCCTGATCTTGGAGCCACTGTATTTTTAATCAATTTGCAGTAATATGCCACTTGGTTGAAACAGGCTGCCTAGAACAGTCTTCTCAGCTATCATAACAAACTATAATAATATACATTTATATAGCTCTTCTCATCACAAAGTGATATATAAACTATGTACAGTCAACACCACTGAAATCCAGCCAGCTCTGGGATTAAAGGAGACAACTAAGCAGTTGACAGCATGTTCAACAGTGTGGGGAGAGAAAATTTATTCAAAGAATATGAAGAATTAGAGGAAGTACTCAAAGTAAAAAGAGCTATGGAATCATTAGTGTCCATTCAGAACAGACAGGATCTCTACTGCTGAGGTCTCATCTGAAAGACTACCTCACAGTATCTGCCTTTACAGATATACAGATAAATGTTCCCTGCTGGGATCTGAACCTTTGGTTTCAGGGAGTTTAAAATGCTTCAAATCTGATGCTTAGACTACTAAACCGTCATCATCTTCCTAGTGCACCTGAGAAAATTTAAAACTGCAGGACCAACTATATGTTTAAAAAATAAAGTCACAAAAGTAGTCCTGAAACTCTAGTTATTTGAAAGAAATTATGACAATAGCTTTTATAATGAAAACATTTTTATCATAGGTGTTGGCCAACAAATATTACATATGTCATCTTACTAATGGAATGATGAAGCTTTGTGTCAGTTCCAAGAAATAACGTCTAAGAATTACACTTTGGGCTTCTGCGGGACGTTTCTGTTGTACACCCTGTAAGAAGCAACCACAGTAATAATCTATTATTCCAACATAAATCACTCAAAATTAGGAGACACACCAAAGACCAGGTTCACACTCCACTGATGTACACCTATTTAAAAGACTTAATGCATTGCTGTAGAGAAATCACTAACACTATCAATTGTGTTGAATTTTAATAATCTTAATATAGATCACAGTGATTTCTGTTTCTTTTTATGTTTTTTAAATGGTCTCTATATTTCAAATTCATCTAGGAAAAGAAACCAAAACATTAGGAGAAAAAAATATTCCGAGAATAACCTTAAACCAGGCAAAGCTAGGAAATTTTGAGTTGAGAAAACTCACACAAGAGATTTCTCGGCCAAACAGGTTTGGAAAAGCATGGACAGACATTGATTAATCAATTCTCTGGATTCTTACCCTAATTTTTTTAAATTCCACCATTCAATTTTTATTTTTATTTTTTTAAAAGCACATGACTACAACTGCTGACAGGAAGACAAACGCTCCCAGAAGACAATGTTTGAATCAGCTCAGGCAGGGAAAAGACATAAGTGTCAAAGTTCATATTTTCAGAGTTTCTTGTTTTAGTCTCTGTGAATTCTGTCTACATACTTGACAACCTTGAAGAAAAAGATCTACCAGCATACAAAATAGTTTCAATAAACAGATCTGCAAGTTTACCTTTTGTAACTGTTTTATAATTTCTTCATCTCTGTTCAAGTATGGCTTGTAAGATGTATAAACACCTGGAAGAAAAAAAGAATACAGCCAAAAAACAACTAGGGTATGCATTTTTAGTAAAGAAAATTGTAAGGATTATGTTTTTATGATGATCAAGCTTATTACCAGGTTTAGAATCCAAAGTCTTTAGGTTCTTCAGCTTTTTCACTTTTACTTGTTTTGGAACTTCACCTGCCAAAATATTTTAAAACATCACCACCTTAAAAATCTTTTCTTTGGGTGCATGCACCACAATTAATACATTGTATAATACAAAATGACACATGTATTTACAAATCCTTATTTTTATTTAGTACATTGCCTGATGACACATAAGATATCAGGTAGGTAAGCATCCCAACTAAAATATATACATGAAAATGTAATAGATAAACTAAGTCTTGCAGACTTGCCATTGAACAAAAGTGCATTAAAATAAAAAATATTAAAAATCCTCTATATTGGAGAAAATTAGAAACGGTAGCCATTTGATTCAGAATGATACACATGGTTAAAAAAATTATTACCCCTATAGCAAGAGGATTGCGTTCTCCATTCATCTCCCTTTGATTCCTATAGGGTGCATACCTTCAGTAATAGTGCTTCACAATTTGGTCGATATAGTATTTAGGGTTGTCAACTGTACAGAAATATTATTAGGGAGAGATCCAAGGCCAGTCCATCCTCCCTAGGCGACCACTACTATTTTGTGGAAGATGTTCTCTCCCTTTCTCCTCCACACCGTGTTGGTGCTCCACGCATAGCACGTAGCAGCCTAGTGCTGCTCTGTAGAACCAAAAAATAAAGTCTGACAATGTTGCTATTAGGTTTCGGAGCTTGACACTAGATTTCTAAATGGGCCAGCTAGTGCAGTACTGTAAGTTATATATGGACACTCTTCACAGACTAACTCTTTTTCTGGGCAAAGACAGGGGAAAGTTGAAGTTTTAAAAAAAAAGTCAGGGGCAGCTGTTTCTCAGGAACTGCTTGATCAAATGATTACACATCTACACCACCAATTGTATACCTGGTCCCTGAAATGATATACTAGTTTTCAAGCTAATCTGACTGTGCACATGGATTTTGAAGAGGTCTGAAAATTTGACTTTAAACAAATCTTTTTGCTACTTTCACTATGAGGTGTCTATTCATGGCCATAGGATACTTTAAAACTCTCTATCAAAGTAATCTTTCCTCTCTCATTTCAAAAAACTTCCCTAGTTCTGGGGAAGACAGTTCCTAGGCCAATAATGACAGTTATACTCCAGAAGGTGGAATACTCCGAAATATTTTTCCATGAAGAATGGATTTCATGCTGAAATACTCTGCCTGAAGTTATTCCTGCATTCTTGGCCCAGAACAAAATAACGTATCAGAGCAAAGGAGGACTGAGTTCAGATACTTAATATCACAATCACACACACAGAGCACTTTATGATCTTATTACTGGTTGGCTGAAAATTTCTTTGTTATCCAAAAGGTAAGTGGACAGAAATTTCCATTTGTATAAAAAGAGTCATACAATTTTAAGTACTATAATGACTTAAAGAGCATATTACAAAAATCTAAGTAGTTTAAAAAAAATCACATCAGCAAATGCATCTTTTCCTAAAACAGTGGCACCATCAGCTAGTTTTATGCAGGTAGTATTCTGTGCACTTTTTAAATGACTGTTATTCTTCGGGGTTGTCCACACAGAACATTAGCATGCAGTAAACCCAGCTGTGACTACAGCACACTAGCCTGCTCAGCAGTTATGCTCTGGGTGGACACTGCTACAGTGCTTTACTGGTTTTGCCGTATGCGTCGAGGTACTCCTGTTTGAAATAGACAAGCTCTTACTGCGTTCTACTGATTCTAAAAGAAATCAACATCAGAAATTTCATGAGTGACACATTAGCAAAAGTTTAATTTCTTGGCAGAAATATGAAAACAGACTGAGTTTTTAAAGATAAAAACACAGACGCTAATAAGTATCATTACCTCCTACCTTGAAGACAGAAAAATAGAATGCTAGATGGACTTTACACTAAGTACCAGCCCTCCAATATTTTCGAGAGTTTGAGTTCATTTAACATCCTTAAATTTCATGAGAAACATGGTTAACACTGTTTTGCATAATAAACTCAATTCTGGAAACTGGCTCACAAAGCATTTAGATTGTTTATTAGAGTTCAAGACTTCACTAAAGGAAAAAATGAAAAGTCAATATTTTTTACACTTTGAAGCAGAGTTCTGTTGTAGAGCTTATGTTTTACCTGGAAGTTTAATCTCTCCTATTCGGACAATGTGTGGCCAGTGCTGGAGTGTTTTTGCAAAAAAAGGGTTTGTCACTCCTAAAATGACAGAGGGCCTAGAAAAAGAAGAAATTCTTCAATCAAGGGAGCAACAGTTTTTGCCACTGAAATTTAGATATCAAATATTATTCTAACTTGAACTTATTCTTAAGAGTGAGAAATTAATACCAACACAAAGAAATAATTAACCACATGAAAAACTTAATTTTTTTAAACAGCATTTCCCGAAGTCTCAGCTTTCAGAGGACTGCAGAACAGATACATCATAAGCTATATATACACTAGTGATGCAATTTCCCTGCAAACATACATGTACTTGTGCTAGCTTGAGTATGTGTACGCAAGCATGGGACTCACCCCCACCAGCTTATAGTGTAGATGTAGGATAATTATGAAATTAAAGAATTAACGTTACCTTAAGTTTGGTTAAGGAAATATATGTTATATATATTTGTAAAGAAAGGCCCAGACTAGCAAGTAGAAGGAAGGCCTTGAAAATAACGAGTGATAGAGGAATGAAGTAGGGAGAATGTCTGGTTCAAATCATTAATGAAATAAGGGGAAATTTCTAAAAAGAAGGCCTCTGACTGGTACAGGTGACTGCAGATGTCTTAAAATGAGCCAACATGGCCCTTCCCCAACCCACACTCCAACATTAAAACCTACGTGAACCCAGATGCAATGGGAAAACTGTTGAACAGCATGAAGGAGTCGAGGAAAGGCTTTAGGACAGAGGTCCCCAGAGCGTGGGGAGTGCCCCTGTAGAGAGGCAACGAGGGACTGCCACCCAACCCTCCCCGCCCCCAGCTCTGCTCCCGTCCCACCCCAGCCATATCCCCAGCTCCTCCCATCCCCTCACCTGGCCCTGTCTCCAGCCTTGGTGTGGCTCCACACCCAGCTGGGGGCCCAGCACCAACCCCCACCATGGCCCAGCTGCAACTCCACTCCCGGCCCTGCACCAGCCCCCAGCCTTGGCCAATGGCCGTGGCTCCATTCCCGAACCGGGGCCGAGACTGGAGCAAGGCTAAAAGTGGAGGTGCACCTGGCCACGGGCCTGGCTCCCAGCCCCCATGTAGGGAACCAGGGTGGCTCCCCTCCAAACCAGAGGGTAAAGAGCCACCCTCTGAGCCTGAGTGGGCTGGGCCAGGCCAAGCTTCCACCAATCCCCGGAAGGGGAAGGGTGGGACAAGAAGTTCAAAGGGCGGGGCCCTCTGCCCTTTGAGGAGAGCACCAGAGAGGGAGACAAACACAGGCTGCTCCCTCGCGATCCTGCTGCTGACCCAGGCAAAGCCCTGGGCAAGGAGGAGCCTGACCGGGGGGAAGGCCTGTGGCAACCAGGGCTGCTGGCCGCTGAATACCCAGAGGACCTGGAGGGGCCTGACTGCAGCCTGGGCCAGCGTGAGTCCGATACCAAGGGGGAGCGGGGGTGGCCCGCAGCGGAATACCCGGAGCTGCCCGCAGCAGAATACCCGGAGGAGATGGAGGGACCGGAGCGGCCTGCCTGAGAGAGACCGGTTAGGAAGTAGCCCAGGGGCCCAACTACACCGTGGGGTGGGTGTGTTTGGTCAGCGGGTGCGGATTGCCCCGCTGACCCAGCGGCGGGACCTTCGCCTCCTGCCACTGTCAGGGTCCTGGGCTGGAACGCAGTGGAGTTGGGTGGGCCTGCGTTCCCCTACCCCGGCGCTCTCCTGCCTGAGGGGCGCGCTACTGACTCTGGCCGGCGCTCTCCTGCCTGAGGGGTGCGCTACTGACTCTGGCCAGCACCCCTTCCCGCTAATTCCCCAATGCCCGGGAGGTGGGGCTGAGGCCTGTCATGGAGACCATTGCTCTCCATCACCCCTAGGGGCTCGGAGGACTGACCGACACCTGTCACACCCCACCTGTGGCTCTGCTCCCACCCCAACCTCGGCCCCAGTCCGCGGTCCCACCCCTGGCCCGAGTGGGAGGAGGAGGGGGTGTGTGGACAAGGGTAAGTGGGGGGTGCAACTCTCAAAAGTTTGAGGATGGTTGCCTTTAGGAAGAAAGGAGATTGTAAATCTTATCTGGATTAAGCCTGGAAATAAGAGTGAACTGTCTCAAATTGGTTGTTAACTGAAGCCAGTAATTGGCAATGATATCACTTGTTTGTTAAAGGGTATAAAAAGTAAACTCTTAAAGGGCTCATTGCTAATACCTGCCTGATGATGTTAGAGCCCACTAATACGGAGCTAAGCACCCCTGAGTTTAGCCAGTTTGTAAGTATCTTGATCAAATGCTTATAAATGTTTTCAGAGTAGCAGCCATGTTAGTCTGTATTTGCAAAAAGAAAAGGAGTACTTGTGGCACCTTAGAGACTAACAAATTACCAGTACCAGTACTGTACCAGTCAGAGGCCTTCTTTTTATAAACGTTTTGTTACTGTTGGGATGTAGTGAACTGCTTATTATTTACCTTTTTAGTCATGTTAAGAGCAATTGTATAAATATCATTTGGCCTTTGGACTTAATAAAGGAACGTATGGTTAAATTAGTATTTGATGATTTCCCATAGCAATATTAATTTCAAATATTAATAATTCTAAAAGTAGACAACCTTATTTAAAGTCTATACTGTAATAAGACAGCACTCCTGCCACGTCTCACGTTGTACCAATTCTAGGTTAAGTTCTCCTCAGTTGCACTGGTACAACCCTGGAATAACTATGCAAATCTATGGAATTTATCTGGATTTACATAGATATAACAGCAGTTTGATCTTGTGTGTAGCTAAAAGCCAAATGGCTACTTCAAGTTTTTACTATGACAAGCCGTTATTACTTTAAAACTTGTCAGTCCATGTCCTTTGTCAAATGACCTATTGCTCCTCCAGATGACCAGGAGTTTAAGAGGGGAGAAACTTATTAGATCTAGCTTAGTTCCCTGCTGATGTATGATTGTTTGCTATTAGAAAACACTGCTTTCTAAAACTAGACTGAAGAAGTCCCAGGTGTTGGGAGACCATTTCATAATTCAATGTATTTCACGGTTGTTAATTTTTTCCCTTTTTGTTTACACTGTTGTTGTAGCCCTGTTGGTCCCAGTATATAAGAGAGAAGATAAGTGAGGTAATATCTTTTATCAGACCGACTTTTGTTGGTGAAAGAAGTTTTCAAGCTACACAGAGTTCTTCTTCACGTCTGGTAAAGGTAATTAGAGTGTCACAACTAAATACAATATGGAACAGACTGTTAAGCATAAGGAATTAACACATGAGAAAGTGGGCAACTGACTACTGCAGTCATAGGGCAAAGGTGGATTAGTGGGTTACAGATTATTGTAGTGAAACGAAACAAGTGGCTCTATTAAGTCGATTATTTTCAGTGTCTAGCCAAGTTATGAATTTAAGCTCCCAGGCTTGTCTTTTGAAGGTGTTTGTGCAGGTTTCCTTTGAGGACTAAGAGATCAGAGGTGGAGTGATCGTTCTGTGATAGGATATTTTTGTCTTTTTAATCATAATTTTTCAAATGAACTCTCACAGAAAAATGGTAAGACAAAAACACCCTATCACTCTTTTTACCCTGGATGCTGAAGTACAGCATGGAAACTGTATTGTCAGAATTCACCATCTTTAGAACAAGAGACTCTCAGAAATAAAGGCCTCTTCCAGTCTCTAAATTTTTTAATGAAAAAAATCAGAAGGATGCATTTCTCTCTTTTGCTGTTACTTTTAAACATGGGTCACTAAAGTTTAGACAAACACAACTTTGGATTCCATGTGACTGGTTATTCAGTTTGCAATCCATTTGCTAAAAATAAATGGACCACAAATATAGTGTCCAAGTTTGGATGCTTTTCCATTACTGTGTTTTCTGAGGATTTTTTTTTTTTTTGGAAAAAAAAAAAAAAATTTTTCAGCAGAACAGTCACGAGTTGCTCATGCTTTAAAGGAACCTTGTTCAGAATATGATCAGTAAATCTAATGCAAACAATCAGTGATTAAGTTGTAATATTTCAATAAAATACATATTTTGAATATAAGTATATGATCTGGTTACCAACATTTGAATATGGATCTGAAGTGCCACAATTTGGTCTAAGAGCATTTATGAAAATTCAAGATTTCAAATCCTATTTCCCAAATTCACAAATATGACTGATACATTCACACAGGTTCACTGAGAAAAGCACAAACTTTCTTAAATTTTGTCTACACATGGAAATTTAATGGAATAGCTGTTGTGAAATAAGCTGTTGTGCAATAGCTATTCCAGGATAGACCCCTTGTATGGAGGCTCTATTCCAAAATTAGTCATTTTATGTAGTAATTATTTTGAAATAAAGTGACTTTTATTCCAGAATATACCATCTCCATGAGGAACTATTCTGGAATGACTATTACAGAATAATTTGTTCTGCTGTACCTATTCTTGTCAGTTTCCCCATGCAGACAAGCCCTTACTGAAGGGGAAGGCATCTTTTCTCATTCAGGATTCAACTCTTTCACCAATCAGGTACACAGACATCCCACTGACTTCAAGTATGATCCTAAATAAGAGATGACTAACATTATACCTCAGGTTTCAGCTCTTCTTTGACTCCCTCAGGGAACTGATGGGCAGGATCCCCTGGGAGAATAACAGGAGGGGGAAAGGAGTCCAGGACAGCTGGCTGTATTTTAACGAATCCTTATTGAGGTTGCAGGAACAAACCATCCCGATGGGTAGAAAGAATAATAAATATGGCAGATGACCAGCTTGGCTTAACAGTGAAATCCTTGCTAATCTTAAACACACACACACACAAAAAAGAAGCTTACAAGAAGTGGAAGATTGGACAAACGACCAGGGAGGAGTATAAAAATATTGCTCAGGCATGCAGGAGTGAAATCAGGAAGATCAAATAACACTTGGAGTTGCAGCTAGCAAAAGATATTAAGAGTAACAAGAAGGGTTTCTTCAGGTATGTTAGCAACAAGAAGAAAGTCAAGGAAAGTGTGGGCCCCCTACTGAATGAGGGAAGCAACCTAGTGACAGAGGATGTGGAAAAAGCAAATGTAGTCAATGCTTTTTTTGCCTCTGTCTTCACGAACAAGGTCAGCTCCCAGGCTGCTGCACTGGGTGGCCCACCATGGGGAGGAGGTGACCTGCCCTCTTTGGAGAAAGAAGTGGCTCAGGGCTATTTAGAAAAGCTGGAAGAGCACAAGTCCATGGGACCGGATGCGCTGCATCCGAGGTTGCTAAAGGAGCTGGCGGATGTGATTGCAGAGCCATTGGCCATTATCTTTGAAAATTCATGGCAATCGGGGGAGGTCCTGGAAGACCAGAAAAAGGCTAATGTAGTGCCCATCTTTAAGAAAAGGGAAGAAGGAAGATCTGGGGAACTACAGGCCAGTCAGCCTCACCTCAATCCCTGGAAAAATCATGGAGCAGGTCCTCAAGGAATTCATTTTGAAGCACTTGGAGAGGAAAGTGATCAGGAACAGTCAGCATGGATTCACCAAGGGCAAGTCAGGCCTGAATAACTTAACTGCCTTCTATGAGGAGATAACTGGCTCTGTGGATGAGGGGAAAGCAGTGGACGTGTTATGCCTTGACTTTAGCAAAGCTTTTGATATGGTCTCCCACAGTATCCTTGCCAGGAAGTAAAAGTAGTATTGGCTGCATGAATGAACTCTAAGGTGGATAGAAAGCTGGCTAGATTGTCAGGCTTAACGGGTTGTGATCAATGGTTCCATGTCTAGTTGGCAGCCGGTATCAAACCAAGTGCCCTAAGGGTCAGTCCTGGGGCTGGTTTTGTTCAATATCTTAATAATCTGGAGGATGGTGTGGACTGCACCCTCAGCAAGTTTGCAGAGGACACTAAACTGGGAGGAGAGGTAGATACGCTGGAGGGTAGGAATAGGATACAGAGGGCCCTAAACAAATTAGAGGATGGGGCCAAAAGAAATCTGATGAGGTTCAGCAAGGACAAGTGCAGAGTCCTGCACTGAGGACAGAAGAATCCCATGCACCGCTACAGACTAGGGACTGAATGGCTAGGCAGCAGTTCTGCAGAAAAGAAATTAGGGGTTACAGTGGTCGAGAAGCTGGATATGAGTCAACAGTGGGCTCTTGTTGCCAAGAAGGCCAATGGCATTTTGGGATATATAAGTAGGGGCATTGCCAGCAGATTGAGGGATGTAATCGTTCCCCTCTATTCAACATTGGTGAGGCCTCATCTGGAGTACTGTGCCCAGTTTTGGGCCCCACACTACAAGAAGGATGTGGAAAAATTGGAAGGAGTCCAGCGGAGGGCCACAAAAATAATTAGGGAGCTGGAGCACATGATTTATGAGAAGAGGATGAGGGAACTGGGATTATTTAGTCTGCAGAAGAGAAGAATGAGGGGGATTTGGTAGCTGCTTTCAGGTACCTGAAAGGGGGTTCCAAAGAGGATGGATCTAGACTGTTCTTAATGGTAGCAGATGACAGAACAAGGGGTAATGGTCTCAAGTTGCAGTGGGGGAGGTTTAGGTTGGATATTAGGAAACACTTTTTCACTAGGAGGGTAGTGAAGCACTGGAATGGGTTACCTAGGGAGGTGGTGGAATCTTCTTCCTTTGGAGGTTTTTAAGGTCAGGCTTGACAAAACCCTGGTTGGGATGATTTAATTGGGGATTGGTCCTGCTTTGAGCAGGGGGTTGGACTAGATGACCTCCTGAGGTCCCTTCCAACCCTGATATTCTATGATTCTTTCTCTCAAATAGCAGCATTAACCAAAATTAAAATAGAATCATATAAATGAAGGGATGGAAAGGACCTCGAGAGACAGAATCAAGTATACTTAAACCATCCCTGACCGGCATTTGTCTAGCCTGTTCTTAAAAACCTGCATGATGAGGATTCCACAACCTCCCTTGTAAGCCTGTTCCAGAACTTAATTACCCTTACAGTTAGGAAGTTTCTCTTAATATCTAATCTAAATCTCTCTTGCTGCAGACTAAGCTCATTATATCTTGTCCTTCCTTCAATGGACATGAAGAACAATTGATCACCATCCTCTTTTTAACAGCCCTTAACATATCTGAAGACTGATCAGGTCCCCCCTCAGTTGTCTTTTCTCAAGACTAAGCATGCTCAGTTTTGTTTTAATTTTTTAACTCTTCTTCATAGGTTATGTTTTCTAAACCCTTTATCATATTCCTTGGTCTCCTCAGGACTCTGTCCAATCTGGACATCTTTCTTTCTTAGAGAGCAGAGCCTAAAACTGAACAAAATACTTCAGCTCAGGCCCCACCACTACAGAGCTGAGTGGAACAGATAGTCCTGTTAATAAACCCAGAAGTATATCTGCCTTTTTCACAACTGCATCACCTTAACTCATATTCAATTTGTGATCCAACATAACTGCCAGATCCTTTTCAGAAGCACTAATGCCTAGCGAGTTCATTCCCCATTTTGTATAAAATAGTTAACTATAGCCTGCTGTGTCACAACACCAAAAAAGGAGGAGTTTTCTTTCCAAAATGTCCAGAATCAAAGTCTCAAAAAATTAGATTTATTCTTTTTCGGTTTCCACTTTAAGCCATGGTTGTGGTGCAAGAATGACCTGAATATCAACTTTTACACCTGTAATCAATCTTACTTACGGGGCCTGTGTACGAGTGGTATATTCTTTGAATTCACTGTCATGTATAGTGAAGTAGGGCCTAAAATCACTGCAGTACTTCAAAGGTGAAATACAACTGTGGAACAGAAATATAGAAGGTTGAATTAAGTATATACATAAAGATACAGTATTTCACTTAAATTTACACTAATAAATGTCAAATTTCTAGAGCTTCATTAGATGGTATTCAATATTCTTCTTAAATCAATAGAACTTGAACTGTAAGGATGCTCTATCATAGTTACCTAACAAGTGCTAGAACAGTTTCTGACGATTCGGAAGGTGATGGTGCCATAACAACAACTGGTTCTCCTAATAACACTAGTTCCCAAAGCATCTGAATGTGAAAGAATACTGGACAGAAACATCTGCAAACAGATATATAGAAAGAGCATATAGACACTTTCAATATACTTATCACCAAAATGAATACAAATTCCAGTTAAAAGGACAGAACTAGATAAAGGACATTTTAAAACTATAGTAAATATTTTACCTGCTTTAAGTTATTAGAACAGTTTCCCCATAAATAAATATTCAATTATATAGACCTTGCTACTTATTGTAGTTACTTTCAACTAGTGTTAGATATACTTTCCTTTAGTCATCTTAATGCAAAAAATGCCTTAACTATTTGCAAAGATGCTGTTAAAATTAGTTGGTTAACTAGACAGTCATGTTTTATGAAACTCTTATTGACCTGAGTGTGATTTGTGAGTATTCAATACTACTGGAAAAATAAGGCCAAATTCTTACCTGAAAAGATCCACTTCATGAACAGTAGGTAAAGCAATGGAGATTTGTGTGTCTTCCTGAAAGGCAGAAAATTAACTTTTTGGTCAGTATAAAACACATAGAAGTATGGAATAAGAGTCGCCCTGAAATGTTTACAGACAGTGGGCCAAAAATGAAAAGCAGGACATGTACTAGGTCATATCCATATTCATTATTTACCTGTGCTAAGGATGAAGTAAGGATATCCATTAAGTTTGTTGCAATTGTCAGTCTTAGCCCAGGGACAATACCAAATGTTTAAGACATTTCACCCCAAGATTTAGGAGAAAATATAAGCCAGAGGGGGGTTTATCATATCCATGGCTTCTGTGACAAAATATGGAACTTTTAGGGGTTTGTCCCCTAAACGGGGATTTTTGAGTCAGCTCCCCAATAGCCAAATGCTGAGGAAGCTGCACTCCACCTACCCTCATCCTGAAATCAATGTGAAGAAATTCGACTTATTTAAAGGAACCTTGCTCCAGAGCCTGCAGTTGCTTTTCAGTCGTTTCCAGGGGAAGTTTAAGATGATGGTTTTGTCTTTTAGCCTTAAATGGTTTTTCACTTGGTAACCTCTCTATGGGTCTCAACTGTAATGGTATCAACTAAGCTGCTTGAACTAACAGCCCCCAGCCTCGAGGGTTCAACCCAGACCAGTAAGGGGTTGTGCCACCACCTGCGCAGCAACTCTGGGTGCCTTAAATGCTCCACTGCTGTGGCTCTCAGCGCCCCCGTGATGCCAACAGCCAGCATACAAGCATCCAGATCACACCCTGACTTCCACTGCCTTGTTCTTTTTGAAAAGTAACCCCACCACTCTTCCAATCCCAAATTTTCCCAAAATCCTCTGCCAATGAGACAGTCTGCTGGGACTCCCAGAATTGTGAGTTACCGTGTTACCCCTCTTAGCCTGAGCAAATGAGAGTTTTGCTACTGCTAAACTGCGTGACAATTCCCTGACACACCAGCTTGTATGCCTTGCCAGCAAAATCTTCAGGACTCTTCCTGTCCTTGCAGGTCACAATTAGTGAACAGCCATCTCCTGGAACACCCACAGAAGTAATTAAATTAATTGCTCCTTTAAAAGAGACAATACACTGCATCTCATTAATTTAACCAGGGTTTGACAAATACTCTTATTTCAATCATAACACTGACTTGTTTTATAGCAAAAATAAAACAAGTTTATTAAAAAAGAAGTCATAGGTTTAAGTCATGCCAAGTATAAGGAGTAAAGATAGCAATGGTTACAGACAGTAGTAAAAGTATGCTTTTACGAGTACATAAGAACTGCCACATTAGGTCAAACCAAAAGGTCCATCTAGCCCAGTATCCCGTCTTCCGACAGTGCCCAATGCCAGGTGCTTCATAGGGAATGAACAGAACAGGTGATCATCAAGTGATTCATCCCCTGCTGCCCAGCCTCTGGCAAACAGAGGCTAGGGACACCAACCCTGCCCATCCTGGCTAACAGCCATTGATGGACCTATCCTCCATGAACTTATCTAGTTCTTTTTTGAACCGTTATAGTCTTGGCCTTCACAACATCCTCTAGCAAAGCATTCCACAGGTTGACTGTGTAACTTAAGCAAGTGATAATCCTTGTCTAAGTATGTTTTTCACCTATATTCAGTCCCAGTCACTTCAGCTTGGAATCCCCCAAGTGATGGGTAACTCAAATGACTTTTTTGCCCCTCTTATATCAGCCCAAAGTTTCTCTCTGTTTCAAGAGCCAGGAGGGCTTCTTGCTATTCTTCCCCTTCCTGTTCTTCCCATCTCCCTGCTGATTTGTATGTAAATAGAGCTTCCATATTGCTTAATTTACACTGGAGACAGGTAGATAGCTGCCTTCCCTCCTGTCTGGGAGAAAACCTGTCTCTCCCTTTGTTTGGTTACAGACTTTAAAGCACAATATCAGTTAGCATCCATAGTTCCTCATAGTGTTATACATACACCCCAGAATGATATTAATCATCAGTGTGTTACAGGCTTTCATAGAGAAGACCTTACTCACTACACTTTGTATACTGTGTTACTATATTATAAAATCAGTTGATCAACTGCTTACCATTTGATGTTCTGACAATAAACCTTTTAAATATATTATTTGAAGAGTAAGTCCACACCAAGCTTCTCTTTCCTGCTTGCGAGTAGAGCCATGCTGTCTTCTCCCCTACTTCTTAGATTGATAGCTTTGTTTACCTTATATATAAATGTGCTTTCATTGTATCTACCTGACAACCAGGCTGGTCATACAAGCAAATACACATTTCTTTGTCTAAGGCAGACTGAGCTTATGCACTGCTTGCCAAACACATTAAGAACATAATTCTAGCACATATTTAGAACACTCTGTACATGCCCCTATATACATCACACAAGAATATTAATGATCAGTGAGTTATTAGTCTTCCAGTAATATATTATATGCCACCTTTTAGGTATCTATCATGACACAGGTGTAATGAGTATGTCAGGCCTGACAGGAGATGCTGACACAGAGTAGTGAACCACCAGTGGGCCTCTGTATCATAAACCCCTCGATCAAAAAGGGGGCCGCTGGCAGGATATTTTCTGGAAGGAGTTTTCAACCCTAGAACTTGCTGCTTGGTCTAAGGGAGCCTGCACTCGGATTGCCATCAGGACACAATTAGAAAAGGGGCGCAGAAAGAAAAGACGCTCCTGAGTTTTTAATGGAGGGGTTTAAAGTAGTAGAATTACAGATTATTTTGTTGGGAATTGAATTCACAAACTGTTAGATAAAACACTGAATATGGCTACTTGTTTATTGCAATTGCCATAAGCACCTAGAATTGAGAAAGGGTTATCTAATTTATTAATTAATAAATACCTATATTTTATATAGAGCTTATGAGCAGCAGATCGCAGAGTGCTTCACAATCTTTACAGGAGTGTTATGAGGGTAAATACGGTAAAGTAGGGAAGTATTATTAGTTCCAATTTTTACAGATAAGGAACTGAGGCACAGAGAGGCTAACTGACTTGCCCAAGGTCACACAGGAAGTCTCTGGCAGAGCAGAAAACTGAATCCAGGTCTCTCAAATCCCAGGGTAGTGCCCTAACCATTAGCCCATCCACAACAAATTCCATGATTCCTCTGTGACCTTTTACAAATTGGTGCTTACTAATCTGATTTTACCACTGTGACAAAACCACCACTCCCTTTATAAGCCACTTAAAATGAAAACAGTTTATAGGGAAAGTATCCTGACTTCTTGGTTCATGGCACTGTCACTGAGTCACAGGGTCTGGTCTATGCCCCAGCTGGTTATCAGCCTCCTAGGAGTGACTCATTCATGTGCCGGACCCCAAGGGCCCACACAGTTCCACAGGGGCAGGCCTGTGGCCTCCAAGAGTGGGCCTTCAGCACCAGCATCCCCATCTCTCACTCAAGGCTCACTGCAGCAAATCCAGCCACACCAGAGTCTTGCAGGAGGCTTGTACTGTGTCCCTTCAGAGCATCATGTTCTCAATGAGACAGTCAGCCTTTTAAAAACAAGGTAACCATTTATTCATTACCTGGCACACAGCATCGCAAGTCCTTAGGTTAGCACAGAGAAATGCAGGTTAAAGTAAAGTATAGTCCATTCTGGTTAGCCCAGAGTCCCAGCCACACTGTAGTGAACCCCTTGTTCAGGTTCTGTGTTTCTCTCAAAGTCTGACCTCCTTTGCCAGTTTCCAGGTGAGAGCCCAGACTCATTCCAGAAGCCAATCCTTTATCCCCCAACCTTACACCGCCAAGTCCTTTGTTCTCGAGCTGGGGTCTGTGCCCAGCTTCCCTGCTGAGAGTCAGGTGTCTTCTTGAATTTTTCACTGATATGGAGTTGGCCTTGGCCAGTCATTTTTTAATAACCCATTCAGGCTCCAGACAACTAGGTGACATACCTCCACCTCTCTCTCTCTAAGCCCACCCTGAGAGCAGACTTAGTCCTCCCCACCTTCAGGGGAAACTGAGGCAAACACAGGACTCACAAAAATACTACAGAAAATTCCCTTTCCATCACAGGCCCACTCTAAAATTGTTGCATAACCCATCCAGAAATGGTTTGTATAGACATTTCTCAAACTATTCAGGCAAACAATGCTTCATGGAAACATCTCTTAAGCCACCATATCACATTTAAGTAGTATGTTCTCTCAAGTACAGCTGCCTTTTTGCTAGGCCCCAGCACCACAAAATTAAATGGCCTGTGTGGCTATGCAACCCAGAGCATGAGATGTGAAATACAGTGTCAGAAGTCGTTAAGGAAAATAGACTTGTTGAACTCCTTCAGATAGGTTTCTTCAAGGTGCAAAATATACAAGAGCATAAGAAATCAGGAGACTGCAGTGAAAGGATGGTCTGCAAAGATACTGAAAGGGACGTACTAAAGCATTCCTTTGTGCTTCTCATAGGGAACATATTACACTGTGCTCCAATATCTGCATGAACTTTCAATTTGTTATCCAGATGCAAGTCAATGTGTTCAGCCTTCAGTAACCTGGGGCCTAACTGTAATCGATACTGCCTCTTTTTGTGTGACAGCATAGTACTACTGATTTTTCATCATTTATTTTAAGATTGTTTCTACATGTACCCCTTTTAGAAATCAAAAATAAATAATTTAGAATGGACAGTTCTTTAAGATCATGCTCATTAAAATTTGTACAGACAAAGAAGCCATCTCAAACTGCTTTCACTTATTCATCCAAAAAAGCAAGAAAACTGGTATGTTGGTATATCAGCATCAAAAATGCTATAATTCACACATCTAGAATACACCAAGATAGTAATAATTTAAAACCAAAAGATACATGCTCTCTTTCAGTGGTCTGTATTATAGCAATATCTGATATCTACCTGGTGTGTGAACTGTACTATGTGGGTTGTTCCAGGCTTGTCATGACATGTTGGAATCCGCACCTTAGGAGGGGGGAAAAGAAAAAAGAAGTAATTAGGTTTCCTATCCAACTAATTTACGCTTAGAATACTAAGTATGGGACATTTTAGGCAGTGCTCACAGCACTGCCTATTATTAAGGTTGCCTGACATTTCCCATTACAAGACCCTGTTTTCAGTTGCTTATAACTGCAAATTTTAACTCTTTGGGCTGAACTTTTCCATGCAGGCTGTCTACCTCAGGCTGAACTTTTTGGAAAATAATAAATAAGACGGTTCTACTTTAAAGAGTGATACTTAACTCCCCCGACAATATTGAAAATCTAGCTAGAGACCACAGCTACAAGAACTATATTAATGTTGAAGAATCCTACACAATATTACATGACTAAACATTTTTAAAAATAAGAGTATGATTGGTTTCTGTTTGTTTTACTAGAGGCAAGCTGAAAGTTCCTTTAATAGAAAAAATCCTAATGAAAACAGAGAGCTCAGAACCTGTGGCATTTTAGAAGTTAGGAAAGAAATACCCTACATAGGTTTTACACTTCTCAGTTTAAAATGGTAGTTACCAGTGAGAATTTATCTCCCAATACCTCAGACTTCTTTCTAAATACTGGTTGAAACCAAAACCAACTGAAAAATGTTTATGTAGTTCCCGACCTCACAACCTGCAGCTGTTAGTACTGCAACCCTAAATCATATCATATTGGAAATCAGTGAGGAGTGGAGGCTCAGGAGTGCAGACTGAAACAGAGCTAGTACTTGCCTAAGCATAGTGGGGAGAAAAAAGCCATGATGCAGCTGAAAGTGTCAGCAGCAGCCTCCCACACTTTCCAAGTAACTAAATGCTAAAAAAAATAAAGCCATTATAAAAGAGCATTCTGTTTTCTTGTATCCGAGAATTAAATATTCAGAATTTAGAAAAACAGAAGATATCCCAAAATAAGGCAGATCCAATTCTTGCCAATTAGAAGTTATAATAAAAACAGAACACTGCTTTACTAGTAAGAACAGTTCTTCCAAAATTGTCTCATGCAGATCTCCATCTTTGGGAATGCACAGGCCTCTGGCCACAAGCCTGGAACCATTTGATAACAGCAACTCTGCAGTCACAAACTCTGCATGGATGAAATCTATTCAAGGCTATGAAGGAATGTGGCTCCCAAATGCTTCAGTTCCTATCCCTATCCAACCACTGCAGTTGCTATGGTTTAGTTTAGTGTGTACTAGCTTAAGCTTTTAAAATTTATTTTTAAAAAAATGTTTGTATTCAATATTAGGGGTAGGGATAGTTTTTAAGTTGCTTAATTTCTTGGACTGCCAGGACCCATATATCGACTGACTTGCAGATTTGTAAAATATTGAAAAACTACTAGGACAAGCCAGATTTTCCTCCAATTTCCATCAGTTTATCTCCACTGACTTGAATGGTCTTACATTCATATAGTGGAAAATTTAGCCCTAAATATTTTAAAGTTTTCTCCAATGTGCCAGTATATTTTGGCACATCAATGAAATCACTATGAAAACCTCTTGGAAAGTATATTCTGGAGGAAAGGTACTGAAACAGCAATTAGCTAGCTGCTGAGGACTGGAAATTTTGTTTTGGAAACATTTGTTTTGAACCTCTACGTAAAATATTAGTGATTAAAATTATAAATAAAAATATATATTTATATATATATATATTTTTTTAAAATATGTTTTCAAAGGGCTCCAGGACATTTACTCTGAATCCTCCCAATCTTAACTAAGAAAACAAGGCAGAACACACTGAATATATATAGTAAATGGGGGAGGGGAGAACCCGGTAAAAAGCCATACATTTACCTTCATTATAATGCCCATAATAGGCAAATTTAGTGTTTTCCCTGGGACTGGTGGTGGCCAATGATCAACATCACTACAAACTGAAAAACAGAGTCAAATAGGTAAGTATACTGTATATCTAATTTATATATCCTATACTCCTAGAAATTCAAATTACTTGTACACATACTGAACAATTTAAGTCCTAAATTAACATTTGTCCCCAACAGCATCACTCTCCTGAGACCTTTTCACTTAGTCATCTATTTTGTATGCCTCACATTCTGAAGACATCTTATTGCATACCATAGACAAGGTCAATGGTGCATGTTATTCTAATATAAAGGTATTGTAAATTATTCATTTGTCCAATAAGAAGTATCACTTTGTCTTCTTTTTCTTTTATTTATATTACGGTAGCAGCCAGAGGTCACCATTAGGATCAGGACTCCATTGTATTAGGTAAGTACAACTACATACCAAGAGAGAGTAAAAGGAACACACAGTTATACAGATTAGCCCAGTTTGCTACTAAATTTTTTAAAGATAAACAATAAATATTAGTGATATGCCAATGATAAAGCCATCTGGCTAGAAAGCTTACAGGCTTTCTAGAATTTGTAGTTGTGAATACTGTTCACTAGTTCAGCAGGTGCGAGCTTTAAGCACAGAAGAAAAAGTTGTTTTTTGGTCAAAGGTTGTGATACAATACAGTAAAACCCTGCTAATATACACTTCAGTAAATTACAAATCCCCAATGAAAGTTGATTCCAAAATTGCTGTTCACTGAAGCACAAAGCAGCACGACACTGCTCAGGGCAGAACCAGCTGGGACAAAAAGGAGAACGTATCTCACACCTGGACCATTTATGGCACTTAGTGAAACTCTGAGATAGTTATGAGTCACTTATTATTGGTAGTCTCCTATTGCTGTGCCTGCTGGGAGATGAAGGCAAACCCAGACTCTTAGTGACCCCATATCAGTAGCTCCAGAAGTTCAGAGGATCCAATGGGCATAAGGAAGCCATTAAAATGCCACTGCCTCCTCCGCCTACTCTCCCTTCTCATCAGCAAAAGCTCGAGAGCTATTATACCTTTCTCTGTGACAGTGAATCCAAATTGCAAGGAGAGCAAATTACGGCGGCTGCCAACAACCTGTGTTAAGCAGGTGGGTCCCCAGACTGAGAGGACAGAGGGTCTTCAATGCGGAGCATTGTGCTACCCTTGGAAGGAGTCAGGTTCTACCATATTATAATCTTCTAGCTAATAAGTCTTCAACCCAATTTTTAAGAGTTTAACTAACAGCCCACCCAAATGGAAAATACATGCAAGCTACAATCTTTTTTTCCTATTATTAACAAGCTAGAAAATGCCATCAGTATTTAGCTCATGTGTTGCATGGAATTTCTAGAATTTTTATGAGCTTTTCCAAACCAATAGAATAGTATTAACTAACCTGCTTCCAGAAAAGGTTCATTCTTTTCAAAATATTCTGGTGCTATATGCCTAAGCACAGTGTGGAAAAGATGGATATAAGGTAGTTTGCTGATGAGAACCAAGGACTGGAATAAAGAAAGCAGCAAAATAATCCAAGATTAAATCATTTTAATTGAGTCCCTTCCAAAAGTAGTAATAGGTGTTTTTACAAGAAATCTGATCATTTTGCAACAAGTGTGTAACTACAAGTAACAACAAACAGACCTATAAATGCCAGCAGCTATCAATTTATTGTTTCAATATTAGTGTAGTTTGGCTTTGAAAAACAAATGGCATGGTGTGATTGTGTGCAATACAAAGGCTTCTGTGTTAGGCTTGCTCAGTTTGCTATAATTAAACAGGTGGCTTTAATAACAGCCTAACCTGCAGCTCAGCTAGGAAACTTAAGGACAAACAGAGTTCTTTCTGGCTTGTGCATCGTCACCAGTAATTTATACTCTGCAAGCCAAATTCTGCCCTCAGTTATACTTATGCAAGCTTCTAGTGAGAGTAAAGTTTAGCCCTACAACTGGAATTTGGTTAACAATTCTGTTGATTAGATAAAAGCCAGAATAAAATTCAGCTAATTCTGCTGTAGTTTTGTTGGATTTGAAGGGCTAACAAGAGTGAAAAGTAGTTAAAATTATTTGTCACTGAAGTACACAAACATTACTTCAGACACAGAAGATGTGTTGAGTAAGGGGTTTTAAAAAATAAACAAAAATTTGAGCATTTTTCAGAGTAGAGCCACAACAGCACTGGTTCACACGTACACACCTTTCCACCTTCCAGATATGGGAACCTATAAAAGGTCTAGATCAGAGAGGATCACCAGCTAAGAGATGTAAATATCAGAAGAAACTTAGAAAGGACTGAATTCAACAACAGAGTTGATGTTTTTCCTCCTATAAAAATGAATGCTATTTAAAGCTTGGCTAACACTATAGCTTGAAAATGTGCGATAACAGTTCCAAAGCCATTAAGCACAGTTTTCTCAGAACAATATTCTCCAACCATTTACTAACATGGTTACTTAATTTCATGAGTGTGGACAGAAATTTTATTTACAACATTTCTATAAACCACCTAGTCTGAGTTACTTTCTAGCATGGCTTCTTCACATCGTAATGTTCATCAGCTCAATATTATAAGTGTTTTCACCCTCGCAGAGTATCAGGAATCTATTTCTCTGTTCCTATAAACTAAAACATACAAAAAAAACAAACCTGCTATTGGAGTTTTTCTTCTGTTCGATAAACTACTCTTACTAAAAGGTATGGTGGATAGAATTATTTTGGAGATATACATGCAGACTATACATAATAATGACTTATGAATAATATTTATAGTGAAGAACACAATGCATGCCCTACAATTTTTTTTGCAGCTACAGTTCAATGGTAGATAAGTCATATTTCATTTCTTGAGCACCAATATGCTCACAGCTGTAAAGAAAAGCATGAGACACTGCTTCCGCCTTATTGAGCTTCAAGTCTAATGGCCTCTGGAATTGATGTTGTACATGTTTTTCTAGTAAGACATTTGATTACCTTCTGGAAGTAGCCTCTTTTTAATGTTTTGTCTCGAACTTGTCTAAAATATACATAGCCATAGTAATATGCAGGGTCCTTCTGTTAAAAAAAAAAAAATCAGTAATTTGAAAGTAAAGACAGCTCCCTATTTTTGAACATTCTATGTGTTATTTAAAACATCATGTTTTCTTACATACTCTAAATTTAATATATTTGGTAAAGTGAAAGGATACTTTGCTTCACCCTCTTTACAGGAACTAAAAATTCTACAACTGCTTGAACAGAAAAGCTCAAGATGGACTTATTGTAGCACTAGGTGGACTTATTGTTTGTTCAGTGTGCTTGCTGTTTCTATTCTCCCTGTACCCGTCCCCCTGAAATTTTCTGCAACCAGACTTAGTTTCCCCTGGAAAACACTATCAGAAAGTCTAATATAATGCTATACATTGGCTCATCAACAGTTTGGCATGGATTATCACTAAGAAAAAAAAACAACAACATGTCAATTCTGAAATTTGTTTTAAAAAAAAAAGAGAGAGAGAGAGAGAGAGCGCTATGCTACATAGTGTAAGGTTTAATGGTGAACTAAAGAGCTTCTACCGACCTAAGAAAAAATTGTTTAAAATTTGTCACTTGACAATATATATTATCTTAATCAACTAACAGGCATATACCATATACTTCGATTACAGTTCATATGTTACAACTGAGGCGATTTAGTCAGAGTTCACAAATTCTGTGACTTTACTGGACCTCCGTGACTTCTGGGGCTCCAGGAGGAGGCGGCGAAACTCTGCGCCCCTGTCCTACACCTGGGGCTGGCTGGAATCAGGACCCTGCAGCACCAGCCCGGCTGCTTCTGCCAGGGGTCGCAGCCGCAGCCGCAGCCGCAGCCACACGCCCCTGCTCAACTGCTTTTGCCGGGGGCAGCAGCTGGAACTGGGGCCACATGACCCTGCCCGGTGGCTAGAGCAGGGGCCATGCACCCTGCTGGCAGCTTCTCAGGTCCATGTGCCCCCCCCCCCCCCGATGCGGCTTGGCAGGGCTGCAGTCAGGGGTCCACACCCATCCTGCGGCTGCAGCCAGGTCTGGAGCAGGGTCTGTGTACCCCCGTGGCTGCGCCTGCCGCTGCAACCACTAGAACCAAGGGTGGGGGCTCAGCCTGTCAATTCCCCCCTCCCCCACAATGGGACTCCATTCCTTGCTCCCTACCTAGCCCTCCCCATTATTTTTAGTAAAGTAAGGGACGGGTCACAAGCAATAAACAAAAATTCACGGAGCCCGTGACCTGTTTGTGACTTTTACTAAAAATAAACATGATAAAATCTTAGCCTTAGTTAAAACCTGTCTCTGACAAACAAGGAATCCTTCGTTCTAGTCTGATTGTGGACATTTTCAGTAAGTATTCAAGATGTTTTTCCTTTCCTTTTCATATTTTTACTAATTTAAATCTTGGTCTCCTGATTTTGGTTTGTACTGAAATCATATGACTATGAACTAATGTTTAAAAGCACACGTTAAAAAGTTAATCTAAAAAACATTCCCAAAGCATTAAGAAAAAGAATGCAGACTTAAAACAAACCTATTTTAGCACAAAGTATTTAAACCATTTCCATCCACCCTAAACCTAAGAATTCACAACCTTTTCCACCTATATTTATCAATCAAGGCTTGAGTTCAGGGTTCTGTATTTTCCCAGAAGTAGATGAAGATAATTAGTTTTGTAAAGGAATTCAGAAAGTGCAGCTTTGATTTAGGTGATGCCATCAATAGCTGAAAGAAAAACAGAACTCTGAATTCAGATCTTGGAAAGTAAAAAGTTCTTATTTTTCATTAAGAAACCAAATCAATTATTTATTCAGGACCAAGGATCTGATTACTTTCTAGCTTTAGTTTTCAGGGCAACCCATGGAGTGGATCTGGTTATCAGTGGAATTCCCCTGTACCACACCACTTATCTAGCCATGAATAGCATATATACAGAAAAAGCACTTAATAAAAGTGATAACTACTAGAATACTTTACAGTTCAAATACCATCTGGTAATGGCATGCAGCAAAAGAAGGAATTTGATGAATATTTCTCTTTGAAAATGTTTCTTAATCAACTTCTCTAAATTAAATTTGGTCATTATGACACCAACACCAAAAATTCAGATCAGAGTTAGGGTACCTGTGCTAAATTTTAAATGTACTTCTGAACTTTCTGTTTTTAAATTGGGATATGTTTCCTTTTAGTGTATTTCCAACCTTTAAGGAAACTGGTAAGTCTCCATCCAGCTGGTCCAGCATACAGTGCAGTGAGAGCCTCCTACCAGAAGATCGGCGAAATCTAAAACAAAACTGCGTGTCTCCAAGACAACCTATGCCAAAACAAAAACAGAAAAGAAAAAAGGAAATAATGGTATCTTGATTTCAACAGACTTTAATTGAGGGCTTGTCTACACAGGGGTGACGCATCAGAGTAACTTCAGTTTGTTTGCCTTACAGTGCTTTGAATCCACATGCAACTTTTTTTTTTAAAAAGTGAACTATTTGATGTTTTGGGCCACAGAAAATAACCCTCCTTATAATATACCTTCTCCAGCTGTTCATAACATTCAGAAAGTCTCCCTGCCATCTGCTCCCGTCCCTCGTGCAGGGTGTCTTCCCTTGCTCTCACAGATGTTGTGAACTATATGCCAAGCACTTATCACTCAAGGCACATAATGATGAAAAACATCCAGCCTTGATGGAAAGCACCATCACCTTTTTTTCAGTCTTCCAAATGCATGCTCCACTGTCATTCTGCGACTACTCAGGGTATAGTTAAATCACTCCTTTCTCTTATTCAAGTGTTCAGTAAAAGCAACATAAGCCAGGGAAGCAACGGGTATGGGTTGGTCTCCCAAAATGACAGGAGAAATCCTAACTCCTTTAGTGACCATAGTGGTTTGGGGAGCAAAAATTCCCTTGTTCATTCCAGCAAGTAGACCTGAATTTCTAAATAGTTTAGCCTCATGGACCTTTCCCAACCACCATACATTAAAAATGTGATCTTCACAGTAATCAAGTAGACCTCTCAGCACCTTGGAGAAATACCCTTTCCTCTTGATACAGTCTTTGGCCTCGTATGGCAGCGGTGGCTCAAAGAATAGGAACACAGACCCCATCTATAGCCCAATGCAGTTCAGGAGCCCCATCCATACAAAGCCACATGCATTGTGATGCTGATGACCTGGCACAACAGCGCTACCTTAACAGCATTAAACATCTCCTGACAACACCAAAGTGATTAGGCTGCTGACCAGTAGCAATCAGGCGTGGCACGCGTCCACATGGCGATGGAAACATGCATCCCCAAGCTGAGGAAAGCTCTCATGTTGGTATTCTGCCACTGCAGCTCTAGGATGAGCACCGCACAGATATCTAGGAAAGCAGCATTCCACATCCGGAAGTTCGGTAGCCTCTTGGTCCTCCCAGTTCTGCATCACTATCCTTTTCCACCAGTCAGTGGTGCTCAACTGAATGAAACTGCTCCAGAAAAATGCCCTGAAAAGGTAACTGCTCCATTTTATGTCCACTTGTAGCCATACTGCTGTGGCATCCAAAGCTGTTCACAGATGCCCAGCCAAATCCATCTAACTGCACAAATGCCAATGCATGTGAATCATCCTATTCTTATTAATGACTGTTATGATTGCAGCAGTGTGCCCTCCATGTTGCCTGACAGCAGTTCAAAAGTGTTGCTGGCAAAATACAGATGAATTATGGGAAAGCAGGAGAGGAATCATGCATTTGGTTAGTTTGACCTCAAGTCCCAGAATTCCTGTAGGTTTCAGTAAGCATCCCACAATGCACTGAGAAAAATCCCAGAGCATACAGCTGAGCAGCAGAACACTGTACCATGGGATATCTGCCCAGACTGCTGTGCAGTTAATTCAACCAAACAGTGAAGCATGGATATGATCAATGAGGAAAGTACCTTAAGCCAGTATAACAAAGCAGTGTGGGCACACTTTATTTCAATACAATTAATGTGCTGCATTCAGAACTAACAAACTAAACCGATGTAAGGTACCCATGTAGACAAGCCCTGAAGGTAAGTTATCCTTAGAATTATTAACACCAAATGACTACACACATGGTCATATTGTTCAGGACTCAACAGCTATTTAATTAACAGCTTCTTTCTACTTGTAAAAAGAAAAGGAGTACTTGTGGCACCTTAGAGACTAACCAATTTATTTGAGCATGAGCTTTCGTGAGCTACAGCTCACTTCATCGGATGCATACCGTGGAAACTGCAGTAGACATTATATACACACAGAGACCATGAAACAATACCCCCTCCCACCCCACTGTCCTGCTGGTAATAGCTTATCTAAAGTGACCACTCTCCCTACAATGTGCATGATAATCAAGGTGGGCCATTTCCAGCACAAATCCAGGTTTTCTCACCCCCCCACCCCCATACACACACAAACTCACTCTCCTGCTGGTAATAGCCCATCCAAAGTGACCACTCTCTTCACAATGTGTATGATAATCAAGGTGGGTCATTTCCAGCACAAATCCAGGTTCTCTCACTCCCTCACCCCCCCCCCCAAAAAACCACACACACAAACTCACTCTCCTGCTGGTAATAGCTTATCCAAAGTGATCACTCTCCCTACAATGGCCCACCTTGATTATCATACACATTGTGAAGAGAGTGGTCACTTTGGATGGGCTATTACCAGCAGGAGAGTGAGTTTGGGGGGGGGGGGGGCGCGGAGGGTGAGAAAACCTGGATTTGTGCTGGAAATGGCCCAACTTGATGATCACTTTAGATAAGCTATTACCAGCAGGACAGTGGGGTGGGAGGGGGTATTGTTTCATGGTCTCTGTGTATATAATGTCTACTGCAGTTTCCACGGTATGCATCCGATGAAGTGAGCTGTAGCTCACGAAAGCTCATGCTCAAATAAATTGGTTAGTCTCTAAGGTGCCACAAGTACTCCTTTTCTTTTTGCAAAGACAGACTAACACGGCTGTTACTCTGAAACCTTTCTACTTGTGTAATTTAACTGAGAAGATAGGTGAATGCTCTTTCTACAACCATCTATGCAGCATCAAACACAAGACCATGGTTTGTTTTTTAACTGTAGTTACTTCAGTCTAAACTGTGCTTTTCTATTTCTCAGGCAGATTAGAACTAAAGGAAAAAAAAGCAGTTATGTCACTATTGTTTTATTAAACCAACTCTTACTTTTATGGCCATTGCAGTACATTTAGTGACTTCAATAATGTCTTAAACCGATTTCTGATCATGCTTGTTGAAAGAAAAATAGGCAAGTTAAATTAATTGGTACGGAAATGACCAAATAATAGAAATGCTGTACAAAAGTAAGAAAGTGGACAGCAGAGGTATGTTTCGCCTCCAAGTCTCACCAGCATCTGCTTCAATTATTTTGAAAGACAAAATACGAGGCAGGTCTGTATAACAAACTAAGGAAAAATAACGTTCATATTTTGCTTTGAAAATAATCTATTACCACTACAAAGTCTACTCACACTATATTCTAGAAACAAAAGAAACTTGTCTTAATACACTGCATATATCAACTGATAACAACTTCTCAACAAAATTCATTGTCTCGCAGCCTGATACATTCTATGTCATGAAAGGCCTGATAGACTGTGGCTCTTGATTCAGCAGCAAGCTAACAACCTCCTTCAAAATTTGTTCTTATGTTGTATTAAGCTTTCCTGCTCAGATTTAAAGCCTAAAAAAAGAAAATCAAATCTTCAAGTTGTATAGCTTTTGTTTTAATTGTTAACATAAACAATTTTCCAGGCTAACCTCTGGAATTGTGTTTTCTTCCGAGAAGGACTCTCATGATTTATATCTTTTTTCATCCACGACCATGATGATAGGAATGCGAAAGTAAGTCACACTATCAGTAACAAACAATGGTCTCTCTCCTCAAATTAATCCAGTTTTATACACTATACTCCTAGAATAATTTAATGTAGTCTTTCTAAAAGTACATTAGTACTATTTTTGAGTTTCAAGTTAGGTTTTATTCTTGATACATTATACTTTCCAGTATGATTTTTAAGTGTTGGATAAATTTGCAACCATTAAAATTTATAGTAATCTCAGGTGAGGGTAATACATTTCATGGTTCAGAATGTAAGCCAATTATATGCAGAACTCAGGAAGGAACTGCTCCTCTCCTGCAGGTATAAAAACAAAAAAAATATATTTTCTCACTTTTAGCCACAAGTCAATAGGCAAAAATAACTGGGAATTGGTCCTGCTTCGAGCAGGGGGTTGGACTAGATGACCTTCTAGGGTCCCTTCCAACCCTTATATTCTATGATTCTATGATTCTAATAAGGCTAAGCAAATTGTAAAAGTTACATAACAGCTAAAAAATGTTGGCAGAGCATACTACCAGCAAACCTGTTTTCCCCCAACCTTCCTCTTAAAAATTACAGAATCCGAACTTTGCAGCGGGCCCAAGTTGCTAATCACAAGTCTTCAACTCCCTTTGGAAGTTGAGAAGGGAGAGGATAAGTGAAAGAAGAGTTCAGCAAGCAGGACCACACACTAATAGAGGCAAGGATTAGAGAAACAGAAGACAGAGAGCCTAGCATTCTACTTCTAGACATGCTTTTATAATAATGAAATACAGACCTTTAACAAGTTAGAAGCAGTTAATTCTTTCAATCCAATATTCCCACCTCCTACTAACTTTAAATATTTAACCTCCGTGCCTTGGTTTCCCCATCTGTATAACCCACCAATTTCATAGTTATATTGGGAGGTTTAGTCACTGTTTGTAAAATGCTTTGAGACCATCAGGTGGAAAAAACTAGAGAAAAGCACACATTTCACAAGCTAACATTCCTAATATTTCACTTACACATAATAAACTGGGGTTCCCACAGATTACCGCAGTAGAAATAACTAGATTTTAATATTTTAAATTAGGGCTGTCAATTAATTGCAACTAACTCATGCAATTAACTAAAAAAAATAAATTGCGATTAAAAAAATTAATTGCAATTAATCACAGTTTTAATCACACTCTTAAATACCACCAATTGAAATTTATTAAATTTTTTTGATGTTTTTCTACAATTTCATATAGTATTCTGTGTTGTAACTGAAATCAAAGTATCTTGTTTATTACAAATATTTCCACTGTAAAAATGATAAAAGAAATACTATTTTTCAATTCACTTCATACAAGTCCTGTAGTGCAATCTGTCATGAAAGTGCAATTTTCAAATGTACATTTTTTTTTGTTACATAACTGCACTCAAAAACAAAACAATGTAAAACTTCAACGCCTACAAGTCCACTCAGTGCTACTTCTTGTTCAGCCAATTGCTAAGACAAACAAGTCTGTTTACATTTACAGGAGATAATGCTGCCAACTTCTTATTTACAATTTCATCAGAAAGGGAGAACAGGCATTTGCATGGCAAGGTCTTTACATGCCAGATATGCTAGACATTCGTAGGCCCCTTCACACTTCGGCCACCACTCCAGAGGACATGTTTCCATGTTGATGACACTTGTTAAAAAAATAATGCGTTAATTAAATTTGTGACTGAACTCCTTGGCGGAGAATTGTATGCCCCCTGTTCTATTTTACCTGCACTCTGTCACATATTTCATGTTCTAGCAGTCTCGGATGATGACCCAACACACATTGTTCATTTTAAGTTGTTCACTGCAGATTTGACAAAATGCAAAGAAGGTACCAATGTGATATTTCTAACGATAGCTACAGCACTCAACCCAAGGTTTAAGAATCTGAAGTGCCTTCCAAAATCTGAGAGGGATGAGGTGTGGAGCATGCTTTCAGTAGTCTTAAAAGAGCAACACTCTGATGCAAAAACTACAGAACCCGAACCACCAAAAAAGAAAATGAACCTTCTGCTGTTGGCATCTGACTCAGATAATGAAAATGAACATGCGTCGGTCCACACTGCTTTGGATTGTTATTGAGCAGAACCGGTCATCAGCATGGACGCATGTCCCTTGGAATGATGGTTGAAGCATGAAGGACGTATGACTCTTTAGCGCATCTGGCACATCAATATCTTGCGATGCCGACTACAACAGTGCTATGAGAACGCCTGTTCTCACTTTTAGGTGACATTGTAAACAAGAAGCAAACAGAATTATCTTCTGCAAATGTAAACAAACTTGTTTGTCTGAGCAATTGGCTGAACAAAAAAATCGGACTGAGTGGACTTGCAGGCTCTAAAATTTTAGATTTGTTTTATTTTTGAATGCAGATTTTTTTGTACATAATTCTACATTTGTAAATTAAACTTTCATGATAAAGAGATTGCTCCAGAGAACTTGTATTAAGTGAACTGAAAAACACTTTCTTTTGGTTTTATACAGTGCAAATACTTGTAATCAAAAATAAACAAAGTGAGCACTGTACACTTTGTGTTCTGTGTTGTAATTGAAATCAATATATTTGAAAATGTAGAAAACATCCAAAAATATTTAAATAAATGGTATTCTATTGTTGTTTAACAGCGCAATTAATCATGCGATTAATTTTTTTAATTGCTTGACAGCCCTATTTGAAATTAAGGTTAAACTGTGAATTTCCTGGGTTTGTAATGCTTAGGGGTGGGGGCGAGGGTGGATAATCACAACATTCCCTGTAATACAGGTTTACCCTAAATTACTGAGAAGTACAGTCAAACTTAACTCTGTCTCAGTATAGTTTGGTCTGGAAATAGAACACACACAGATTTCAGATGACAAAGTAAAGGAAGCATTTACCTGAATTGGAATCTGGAAAAGACAAATAGCAAATACTGGTTTTCTGGAAAGAAAAAACACAACAGAGTAGTTATATTATCTGAAACACACAATTTTAAAGTGACATACTGAACTATATATGTAATAGCTCTTACTCACCTCTTTATCTGTAAGTTTTGAATGCTGAGGATATATTACCTACCAAAAAAAAAGTTATTTTGTTTGAAAACAGAATGGATAACTTTAAACTGTAATAAGTTCATCTTTTAAATAGCTGCTATGATGCAGTACTCACTGACCTGTCCATGTCTATCCTAGTTTCAGTACATGGCAGTGAAATCACATTCCATAACACTATCCTTTTTCCATCTGCTAGAGTTTGACTTTCACACTCCTCAAAAATCAGTGCTCTTTCCTACTCAGATAGTCTTCATTATCACAGCTGCTAGTTATATCATAACTTGTCTTCTCAACGAGTCACTGTAAAAACCTTACTGGTGCAAAAAATGTAAGCTTACTGTCTCTCCCCCACACCTGGGGGAGGGGAAAAAAAGGTAGAAATTGACTGAATAAGGATGGTAACTAGTTAGAGTATGTTTGTTGAGAATCAGTAATTCCTCCAGGCTACATCATCCCTTAACTAGAGTTAACATAATTGCTACTGCAGCCACTTGAGGTGATAAAAAACATTAAAATTGTGTGCAGGAAGCAACTGAAGAGAGACAAAATACAGAGTTGGCTTTTGAAATAAACGCACAGCTTACTCCTCATATGCCCTTTCACCAACATCCTGTCTATTGCTTCTTTGAAAACCACCTGGAGAAATAGGGCAGGTATGTTCCAAAGTTTAAAACACTTTGGATGGAATCATGGCCCCACTGAACTCAATGGAAAGACTCCCATAAATTTAATGGAGATCAAGATTTTACCCTTTAACTTTAAACTCAAATTGTATTTACAGAGATCATAGAATCATAGAATATCAGGGTTGGAAGGGACCCCTGAAGGTCATCTAGTCCAACCCCCTGCTCGAAGCAGGACCAATTCCCAGTTAAATCATCCCAGCCAGGGCTTTGTCAAGCCTGACCTTAAAAACCTCTAAGGAAGGAGATTCTACCACCTCCCTAGGTAACGCATTCCAGTGTTTCACCACCCTCTTAGTGAAAAAGTTTTTCCTAATATCCAATCTAAACCTCCCCCACTGCAACTTGAGACCATTACTCCTCGTTCTGTCATCTGCTACCATTGAGAACAGTCTAGAGCCATCCTCTTTGGAACCCCCTTTCAGGTAGTTGAAAGCAGCTATCAAATCCCCCCTCATTCTTCTCTTCTGCAGGCTAAACAATCCCAGCTCCCTCAGCCCCTCCTCATAAGTCATGTGTTCTAGACCCCTAATCATTTTTGTTGCCCTTAACTGGACTCTCTCCAATTTATCCACATCCTTCTTGTAGTGTGGGGCCCAAAACTGGACACAGTACTCCAGATGAGGCCTCACCAATGTCGAATAGAGGGGAACAATCACGTCCCTCGATCTGCTCGCTATGCCCCTACTTATACATCCCAAAATGCCATTGGCCTTCTTGGCAACAAGGGCACACTGCTGACTCATATCCAGCTTCTCGTCCACTGTCACCCCTAGGTCCTTTTCCGCAGAACTGCGGCCTAGCCATTCGGTCCCTAGTCTGTAGCGGTGCATTGGATTCTTCCATCCTAAGTGCAGGACCCTGCACTTATCCTTATTGAACCTCATCAGATTTCTTTTGGCCCAATCCTCCAATTTGTCTAGGTCCCTCTGAATCCTATCCCTCCCCTCCAGCGTATCTACCACTCCTCCCAGTTTAGTATCATCCGCAAATTTGCTGAGAGTGCAATCCACACCATCCTCCAGATCATTTATGAAGATATTGAACAAAACCGGCCCCAGGACCGACCCTTGGGGCACTCCACTTGATACCGGCTGCCAACTAGACATGGAGCCATTGATCACTACCCGTTGAGCCCGACAATCTAGCCAGCTTTCTACCCACCTTGTAGTGCATTCATCCAGCCCATACTTCCTTAATGAAGGAAGATGAGCCAAATGTTACAACAGCAAGAGGGCAAAATATTTTATATTTAGACAGATGAGTACACTGAAGATTTTTTCTTGAGGTAATTAGAAGTACCTACAAAAACTGCTTTAAAAGAATGTTAAGTTTGCAAAGACTTCCCTTTCCTTCATGGGTCATATAGAGAACAGAATTGCTTGCACGGCCCTCATCATGCTCATTACGTTTACAGGCCTGTATTAAGATAATGACTGTAATCAAATTTCATTCTTCAGGGCTTCAGCCAGTTGCCTACAACGGTCAGGAAAGAATTTCCCCTGCGATGTACAGCCATTCCCGTTTGTATTCCTCTGAAACATTATAAATCAGCACTCTGAGGTGGTTCCAAGAATCCTCTTCATAGATGTCTGGTTGGTGAGTCTTGCTCACATGCTCAGGGTCATACAGATAGTCAAATATAGGGTCAAGAAGGAGTTCTTCCCCAGGTCAGATTGGCAGGGATCTCACGGGTTTTTTGCCTTCCTCTGTAGCATGACACATGGTTCATATACTGGGAACATATCCTCAATATCTCACCTAATCAATTCCTGCTACTGTATGGGCCTCAGACTATATGGGCCTCAGACAAAGACCTTAGTCTTTCCTATTCTCTGCCCATTGGACACAGTTTAGTCTCCTGAGGACTGAAGTGCTTTGGTCTAACTAAAGACTTTGCTTTTAGGGTATCTGGGTGAAATTTAATTGCCTGTGATATACTGGAGGTCAGACTAAATGATAGGATGGTTCCTTCTGGCCTTAAGTTCTATGAAACTATGAGACAAGCTCTTAAAAATCAGGAAGTATCATAATCAAGGTCAACTTTAATTTTACAGTCCTTAAGTACATGATTGTGTACTAATTTTTCCACAAAGGAAGCTTGCCTCCATCCTAGGATGGCAGTATGAGACCTGGTTTAATAGTAAGGGTTATAAAGTTCATATCATTAATACTAGTCAGTGATAAAAGTGAAGACATGAATTCTTCATCTCCTGACACCCAGCCCAGTGTACCCTCTTCTAGGCCAAAGAATATTTTGATGAGGGAGAGCAGCAAAAGCTGCTGCTACCATTTTGTCATATCTTACAGAGTTTGTGTGGCCATTTCAGAATGATGCAGGAGGCTCAGTGAGCTTGGAGGATGTGCAACGCAGATGGATGCATCAGTAAATAAAGGGACCAGTGCTGAACAAGCTCCACTGCACATATACAAATGGCAAATTTCTGAAGCTTGTAAAGTGACAAAATCTTAATGGATTTTCAGTGACATCAGAAGATACTTCTCCAACCTAACATCAGCCTCCTGCCAAATTTCAAATTCCTAGCACCCCCTGGTTTGGAACAGCACTGTTTCAGATAAAACTACAAAACAACTTAACTTTGGCAAACCAATCCGTTTTTCCCTAACTTTGTTTTCAAAAACAGCTAAACTTGTATTGCACAATTTTTTTCCAAACATTTCTACAGAAGGCTCTAGAGAATAAGTATGAAAAAGTTCAACCAAGCAGTTAACCTTTCGGAAGAGCTCAATTCAGTTGGAAACAGTGGCTATATAATGGGAGTAATAAGCAACCTTAATATAATTGCTGCTACAAACTCCATCTTTAACAACTTAAGTCCTAAAAATCTGTTACTAAAAATCTGACAAAAACACACACACACACACACACTATCTTCTCTTTCACACACAAGAGAATAACTTAATGCCCCACTGCAATCCAGTTTGTTTTTTTATTAAATTTTAGCACTCGAATAGTTTAGGATAGGAAGTTTATGCTGTCTCCAACTGAAAATGCAGGGGAAATATAAGTAGGATTAATGTAATTACCAACAGTGAAATATGGCCAGGATACAGGAATTTCATTCTACCTATGCAAAAAGTGCCAAATTAATCACAAATAGACTGCACCTCATTTCTCTCAGAAGGAAAACTGCCATATACCAAGTCACCAACACCACCTGTAGCAGTAGAAGTCTGGGTTTTCATTGGTCTCCCTTTCTATTACTAAATGAGCCTCATCCTTTTCAGATCCCAAACAGGGCACATCACAGACAGAAGTAGCATGGATGTTAGCAGCACAGAAATTAGGCCTTATCTACAGAGAAAATGCACCAGTTTAAACTAATATTTAAAATATCAGTTTAGTTAAACTGGTGCAACACTTAATACAGACACATTCTTATTTAGATCAGTTTACATCTGACTATAGGCAGCACAGGTAGCAACATCTCTAGTTAAGGCTGCCTGAAACTTTCCATTATAAGATTGTTTGTTGGGGGTCAGTTGCCTATACCTTTACCAAACTGTTTGGTTGGAAATTCTCCATGCTTGGTGCCTGCCTCAGACTGATTTTGGGGGGACGTGTTCAGCTAAAACAATTCAGACATTTCTCAGAATGAGACATGAGTAAAACATGTTGTTTTTTCCATATTAAATTTTTTTTTTACCACTATTATGTTGAAAAGCTTTGGTGCCTCCATGCTTTAGAAAAAATACTTGAAATCTGTCAGGAGGTGGGGGGGTCACCAAGGTGTCAGGGATGTGCCTTTTGGGGCCACCATGAAAGTCAGCCAAAATTTGGCCACATTATAATCCTCTGAAAAATCTGTTTGAATATGCTCTTAGGCAGCTTAATTCTCTGAAGATTCCATCTGTACTGAGCATGCTCCAGTACTTCACACCTAACAGATGTCAACTTGACTGTGCATGCACTATCCCAACAGAGCAACTAAGCATGGTCCATTCCAGGACTGCAGGGATGAAGGGAACACTTTCCCTGCATTTGACCCTCCTGGTGACTTGTGTAGTGCCAAGTACCAGAACTGGGGACAAATGTTCCCAATTCTCCCATTGTTCGTGCCCAGGCAGCGAGGAGGAGGAGGAGGAAACTCCCTGATTTGAAGGCAGAGGCGTGAGAAATTGGTGGGGGGAGGAATGCAACGAGGGGACAAAGGGGCAGGATCAGAGGGGAACAAAACCGAGGGGACGACAGGGTAAAGGAGCCAGGGACAGTCAAAGAACTGGGAGGGGGGAGACAAAGACAAGAACAGGGGACACAGGCAGAAGCACAGAAAGGGGCTGAGGACAGGGGAATAGCAGCAGTGGAGGAGAGAGGCTGGAGATGACAGGGACAAAAAGGTCTATAACCACTATAGATCATTGTGGAAAGTTTTGGTTTACATTACTTGCCTCATATCACATAGGAACTGTGGCAGAGGCAGGGATAGAATCTAATTTGCTATAATGGCATTCAAATGCCTTAACCATGAACACCAGAGTTTCAGCAAACCAGCGTTAAGAAAACCCCATTTAATGGTGAGAGCCTAAGCCACGATTCATAAATAAAGGCAATGCAAAGTGATTTGAAAATAGTGGGCATTGGAGACAACCAAATTTTACAAGCTATTTGAAAAGAAAAAATATATCTATAAGACAGCCTTCCTGAATACTTCGCAGACTTGCAGTTTTGTAAACACGTAAGGTACTGTATTGCTCCCTCTTTCCTTTGAAAGGGTTTCAAGACAGAAGACCAGATGTGTGTTCATTAATTCCAGTTAAGAGGAAAAAAAGTGTTCACTTTGTAACTTCCATATCTTTTGGTATCTCATATGGTTGAGAAAGTTACCTGTACTTTGTTACTCAAGGTGAAAATCTTGCTGCTGATTAAAGACAGTTTAAATGATAGAGAAGTCTTAGACCCTAAGCCTGCAAATACTTAATTTTAAAAAGAGATTCCCACAGAAAAGTATGGGATTGCTTCTGTGGCAAAAGTTAAGCATGTGGATAAGCACTTGCCGAATATGGGCCACTGTGAGCTCTCCTCACTGCTGAGAAAAGCTAAAAGGGCAGTAAGAAAAGGAGTACTAGTGGCACCTTAGAGACTAACCAATTTATTTGAGCATAAGCTTTCGTGTAGCTCACGAAAGCCTATGCTCAAATAAATTGGTCAGTCTCTAAGGTGCCACTAGTACTCCTTTTCTTTTTGCGAATACAGACTAACATGGCTGCTACTCTGAAACCTGTAAAAGGGCAGTGTTTACTTAAGTCATGTGTTGCAAACAAATTAATTTCTTTGTTGTTAGTAATACATTATAACATTAACCGAATCAAATTTTTAACTCTAATTTACTTATCACTATTCTATTTACTTTTCTCTTGGATATAACAAAGAAACGCCATTAAGTCTGTTTCAACTTTGTTAAGAGCTGCAATGTCTGGGTTTCAGAAACTTAAGAATATATACTTACTAGTGATCTGGAGAAGATTGAGAAGATGATCTACACTCAGACTGCTACAATACAACTTTTAAACCTTTAACACCTGGATACTATGAAAATGATACTATTAGAGAAATGTGAAAAACACACTCATTTTGGATCAAGATGACAACAGTTCAGAAAAATGCACTGAGAGGTGATGGGAGTAGGCTAAACAATTATTTGAAGTTAATTAATTCTATTACTTTTTTTGGTGTTTGCCTGCTTTTTATTTTCAAATGTAGAGGAACCCAGTCAATTTAAAATCTAGTTGTTTTAAGACCATGTGTCGAAAGTAGTTCAAGATACTGCCCTTACCTCTGAGTCAAGTCTTCTGATTTCGTGCAATCAAATCTCTCTCCCTTTATTTATTTATTTATTTTTTTAATTTTCTCTGTTGCTGTGTAACACAAACAATAGGGGAAGTGCCTCACTCCGGGAACGCGATAGTGAAACTGACTCTACACAAAGTGCTGTCAAAAGCCCAAACTAAAAACACCGCAGAGCACGGGCCCAAACGCCCCCCGCCAGTGACGCCGACCTGCAGGGTCACGCCGGACGGAGCCGGGCAGGTGCGGCGCCTTCGTGCAGAGCGAGAGAGAGGAAGAGAGTCAGTCTCGGGCGGATGGCGGCCCCCCGGCTCGGACCCTTCCCCTCCTCAATGCTAAGGGTCGGGCGAGCTTGGGCGCAGCGCGGCAGAGTCTCCCTGCGGCAAAGGAGCCAGGGTGGGATACCGCCCCCCCCCCGCGACTGACGGTCAGGGCCTCTTCCCGCCCGTGTCGCTCACCTCCACGGCCTGGCCCAGCTCCAAGTCGAAACCCACCACGCACACGCAGTGCAGCCAGGCCGAGAAACGGTCCCAGGGCAGCAGCGACAGGCACCGGCCCAGCGCAGCCTCCTCCGCCTCACAGGGGCTCCGCGAGGCCGCGCTGAGGGCGCCGCTCTGGCTCTGCTCCCGCACGGCCATGGCACTAGCGCGGCTCGGCCGCGGCAGGAGCAGCCGAGCCGGCTCCAGCCCGCAAACCAACGGGGAGAGGGCGGCAGGGTAGAAAGAGAATCACGTGACACGCTGCGCGCCTCGTCGTGTTCGGGGATGGGAGCGTCCAAACTACTTCGGGGGGGAGCGGGAGAGTCTAAAGCGTCCCCAAGCGAGCGAGGAGGCGAAAGCGAAAGAAGCCGCCCGCCGCCCGCCGCCGCGGGAGAGTTGCCGCAGCTCTTCCCGTTGTATGAGGCGAGAGGGTCCGTCCAGCCACTGGGGCTGGAGGTTCAGGGCAGGCCCTGAACTTCGACCACTGTCACCCTACAGAGGTGGGGAGACCTGCCTGACCCCGTCCCTCTTTAACAGTCGTGATCCCACCTTTGGCCCTTTCATGGTACCTGACCCCTGGCCTCACAATTGTCACGGGGCCAGTTCCTCTGTCTTGCTGGTTGCCACAGCCCACGCTGTGCCCTCTTGCTTGTTGGCTGACACGGCTCATGCTATGTCGCTTGTCACAGAGTTTAAGGCAAGAAGGGACTGCCAGGTCCCTGTTCATCAGGACACTAGACACCACCCCTCACCTGTGCACCAAGCCCAAACAACCAGAATTAGACCCAAGTGTTACTGCCCTCAGGGGGATTCAACTAGTGTGTCACAAGTAGAGAAGAGAAGGAACTGAGGTGAAGCAACGCTTGAGAGCCCTGCAGTGGCAGGGGCTTGATTATTTGAGACATACTGTTGTTCCTGGTTAAGACATTAGACTGAGATTTAAAAGATCTGGGTCCTATTCCTGGCTCTTGCCCTTCTCTGTACAAGTCATTAGATTACTCTGTGCTCCATTCCCTATCTGTGAAATGGGGAAGTCATTAAAAGCCATTTCTGCATATATTTTGAGCTCTGTGATGTTCTCAGCACCCCCATACTAGCTGTTTTTTGCTTTAGGATGTATTTATTGGGTCATATCAATGCCACCCAAGCCACTAGAGGGTCCTTTGTATTTTCAGGCTAATATTTGTTTTCTGAGAAACAATGTTTTCTCAGGGTTTTATGTTTCTTCCCTGAAGTGATAGTTTTTTTCAACCATAATTCCAGGGTAACAAAGATTTGTCGGGGTTATTATTAAAAAGTCTTAGAGTAACAGCCGTGTTAGTCTGAAAACCTGGATTTGTGCTGGAAATGGCCCACCTTGATTATCATACACATTGTAAAGAGAGTGGTCACTTTGGATGGGCTATTACCAGCAGGAGAGTGAGTTTGTGGGGCGGAGGGGCGGGGCGGAGGGTGAGAAAACCTGGATTTGTGCTGGAAATGGCCCAACTTGATTATCATACACATTGTAAGGAGAGTGATCACTTTAGATAAGCTATTACCAGCAGGAGAGTGGGGTGGGAGGAGGTATTGTTTCATGGTCTCTGTGTATATAATGTCTTCTGCAGTTTCCACAGTATGCATCTGATGAAGTGAGCTGTAGCTCACGAAAGCTTATGCTCAAATAAATTGGTTAGTCTCTAAGGTGCCACAAGTACTCCTTTTCTTTTTATTAAAAAGTCCTTTTCCAGGTGCAGTAAGTGGGTTTTACTTTCCATTAAGGAAAGGAAAGTGTGGGGCCTTAACAGGTTGACAGTGGATCTTTAAAGGAATGAAAAAAAGCAACGAACATATTAATATTTTAAACTGTACTTTCTTTTTTGAATAAGTAACATTATTTTTTCTAAATACAATAGTTTCCTCTAATTACACTTGTACATATCATTACAGACATTTCACACATAATAGATGCCCTGCTTTTATCATTTTGCTTAGTTGTCTTGTACAGCAGATGGGACGGGACTTCCTCAGATCTATACAACTTTAGACTTCAAACCTACACTGGTTATTTCTCAGATAGCAGATACTCTCTCACCCTGTGCTGGCAGGCCATGTGCCCTTAAGCCTCAGCTTCAGTGAGGCGTGAAAGTGTGAAAGTCCACTTCTCAGCAGAGTAATGCCAAACACTGATTAGAGACTGTTGCAGCAGCAACTTCTTCTTCAGTCATTGCTAAGAGGATTTTCAGACCAGTCATGCTGGTTTTAAATTACTGTGTGGAAACCAATTAAACATAATGCAATCCGCAGTGTGGATGCAGTTATATCAGTATAAAGGTGTTTATATTAGTATAGATTGTTTCAGTAAATAGATATAGTTATAATTTCTAAACTGATATAGTTAAATTGATACAACAAAGGTATGCAGACATGCCCTAAGGACCTAAATTTTGCTGCTTTAACTATGCCAATATACTTAAAGTGGGAAAAGTCCCCTAGGGTAGATGCAGTTATACCAGTTAAACTTGTTGAGTTTCAGGAAATGGAATAAGTCATACCAGTATAAGGCATTTTTATACTGGTATAATTGCATCCACAGACACTAGGGCTTTTACTGGCATAATTATGTTGGTAAAAATTACACTCCTAACCAATAACTGTGCTAGTGAAACTTTTAAGTATAGACCAGTCCTTCGATGTACTGCATTTGTGACAGGCTTCTTGCCTTCCCCAACACATACTTATCCACACAAAGGCCAAGTACAATCTGGCCCTTTATCTGTCAACACCAACCATTAAGACAGAAAATAACCCATTAGTGAATACTTCTCTGTCACTGCAATCAACCAAAGATTAGCATTCTGGGGACGTGCTCTTTCATTATATGTTTCCAATGCATCAGCAAAGAAAGTGACAGCCTACTACAGAACATATTTGTAGGCCATACATCTGTGTTGTACAGCTCTCAGACAAAAAGCTCTTCAGGGATTCAGACTGGATCATTGCACAATTCAGAACTGATATGCTCTGCTGCTACATCATTTGCACCCATGGACACTCTGGAGGCTTGAATTACCATGCATTCAAATAATACTCGCTACTCTACTAAGTATTGCAACAGGACCATTTCAACAAATGACAGAGTGTGTGACCAAAATGTCACAATGCTGTTTCCCCTTGATTAATTAAATTTGTGAAAGCACTTCTGCTACCTAAGAAAAGATTTATTACATTTCCAATCACTGCATCATAGCAGCAAAAAGGAGACTTTTTACAATAAAGATAGTATACTTTCCACACATATTAAATATTTTCGATTGCACACATCTCTGTCCAACCCTCTAGTGAATCAAATAAGGAGTTAGGGACAGGGAAGTCAAATCTAAGGTGAAAAACAAGAGGGCATGATTTTGGAAATAAAAGGGTAATGGGTATGTCATAGTAGAAGCAAGATGGATCTACACAAATGAATCTCAAACTTCAAGACCTTGCTTATCACTTCCAAGACTCAAAAGTATTTGGCATACCGCCTTTATAATTGTCATCAACAATTTTTAGTAGATTGTTATTCTTACCCTATACCTCAAATTTACCCATATACCATGTGACTGAGGCCCACATACCACAAGTTGAAAATCAGTTCTCTAGCGAGTTTTTATTATCTAGGCTACTGTGTTAAGGTATGCTGTATGAAAGTAGGAAGAAAATAAAGGAGATCAGGGAGAGGGAGGAAGTGGTAGAAAGTGCAGCAGAATTTAGATTCATTTGAGGAAAGAGATTTAGAGACGAGAAGCAGATATAAGGACATTTTAAAGTTAGCAAGTGTAGTGAAAAAGGAGATAAGGGAGCATAGCTGTCCAATTCTCAGCCTGGGCTCTGCCAAAATCTCTTTGTCTCTTGCCCCTGGGTCTCTTATGAGCGCCCCCACTTCTGAATCCAATTACTTCTAGTCACTGGCGGCACTCCCTGGGTTCTCACACAGGTTATTGGCTGGGAGCAGCCCTCCTGGGTCCCTCACTGTATCAGGCTTGTAGTGTTAGTCTGTACCTCAAAGTGAGGGGGAGGGGTAAAGAGGAATGGAGAGAGGAAAGGCTAGCCACTGCTTCAGGCTGGGCTCCCTTTAGTACTTGAGCTCCAGAGCAGCCTCTCCTTCTGGGCAATGTCCTCGTTGTTGAAGGAGGAGAGGGAGAATGTCACCTCTGCCTTTTCCAAGTGGCACATGTTCTGCAGGTGCACGTAACTGGCACTACCTGAGTACAGGAATACTTGCTAGCCTATCACTGGGATGTGGATGTGTCCCATCACAGTGAGAAAGTTCTGATGATGAAAAGTAGAGAAGGGTGTAAGCAGAGAATTCCTGCCAAATAGCATTTTTTTCTTTGAATTTTTTAGAAAGATCTTACTTAGAAAGGAAAGAGGGTTTGAGGAAGGAATCAAAGGAAGAGAAAAATCAATGGTGATTGTAGGCATTTGAGTCAATCAAGATGAAGAAATAAAGTTCGTTGTAAAGGAAGATGGCAGAATGGAATGGAGAATGCACATGTAGTGGAGAAATTCCATTAATTATCATATTTAAGTTCAATGTATATATTCAGAGGTGAAAGTAAGCCGGTACGCTCCTGTACGGCATACCGGCAAGCAGCATAGGCGAATTATATGGGCTCGCGGCTCCACTAATGTTCAGGGCTGGGTTACCCACCTGGTCCCACCTGCTCTCTCTCCCCCCCCCACCCCCACTCCGTCTCCCTAGGTCCCTGTCTCTCCCCTGCAGCACCATGCTGCCTCCCTGCATCAACTGCCGCCACAGGGTTCTAATGCTCCCTATTCAAAAGTGGCAGGGCAGGCTGCCCTTCCCGTGCCCTTCCCCCTCAGATCCTTTCATTTTCCAGTGGGACCCTCCACCAGTACAGTCGCCCTCCCTGCCCGCAGTCACCGCTCCTGCCCCATGCTGGGCAAGGGGCATCCCCATCCCCCACCCCCAGTGAGGCTACAGTGAGGGGCAGCAGCAGTGGATGAGGTGCACATGTGATGGCAGCCCCCCTGCTCACGGCACCCACCACAGGGGAGGTGAGGGAGATTCCTGGACCTGAGAGGGGCCCTAGGAGCACACGCAGTGACAGTGGTGGGGGGTGAGTGTGCTGCTGAAGGGGAGAGGAGATTCCCTCTCCCAGAGCTCGTTTCTGCCGGGGGAAGAGGGCTGGGGGGAGTCGCGCTCCAGGCGTGGGGCAGCCTCCCTGCACCCCAAACTCATCCCCAGCCCTGCCCCACCCCAGAGCCCATACCCCCAGCCAGAGCCCTCATCCCCCCACACCCCAACCCTCTGCCCTAGCCCTGAGCCTCTCCAACACCCCAAACCCCTCATCTCCAGCCCCAGCCAGAGCCCTCATCCCCCCCGCACCCTCTGCCTCAGCCCTGAGCCCCCTCCCACACCCCTCATTCCAAGCCACACCCCAAACCCATCCCCAGCCTCACCCCTGCACCCCCTCCCATCCCCAAACCCCCCTCCCAGAACCTGCACCTCCTCCCTCCGCACCCCCTCCCATCCCCAAACTCCCTCCCAGAGTTTGCACCCTGCACCCCTTCTGCACCCCAATCCCCTGCCCCAACCCAGGGCCTGCATTCCAGACCTCCTCTCCCCCCACCCAAACTCCCTCCCAGAGACTTGGGCAGGTGGGGGGGAAGGACTCTGGGGGGGGGCAGAGCTTGGGCAGGGGCAGGTTCTGGGCACCACCAAAATTTCTACAAACCTGCCACCCCTGCCGGCAAGAGCCAGTGAGCCGTACCAGGGCAGACCGGCTTCCCCAGGTAGCAATTTAAAGGGCCTGTGGCTCCCAGCAGCAGCTGGACCCCGGGCCCTTTAAACTGACACCAGAGCCCCACTGCCAGAGCCCTGGGGTAGCAGCGGCAGGGCTCGCGTGGCGATTTAAAGGGCCCAGGGCTCCTGCTGCTGCTACCGCCCTGGGCCCTTTAAATCACCACTGTAGTCTCGCTGCCGCTACCCCAGGGCTCTGGAGACAATTTAAAGGGCCCGGGCAGTAGAGGCAGCGGGAGCCCCAGGCCCTTTAAATAGCCCCCGGAGCCTGCCGGAGTCCTAGGGGAGTGGCAGCGGGGCTCCCGGGACTACTTAAAGGGTTTGGGGCTCCCGCTGCCTCTACTACCCCGGGCCCTTTAAATAGCTGCTGGAGCTGATTTAAAGGGCCCTGGAGGGTAATGGTAGACAGAGCCCCGGGCCCTGCTGCTGGACCCCCGGGGCTCCGTCGGCAATTTAAAGGGCCCAGGGCTCTGCTGCACTAGCAGCAGCTCGAGCCCCGGCCCTTTAAATCGTCCCCAAACCCCAGGGCTCCCAACCACCTCTGTAGATGGGAGCTCAGGGAGTGATTTAAAGGGCCCGGGGATTTAAAGGCCTTGCCTCTTCCGGTAGAGGCCACACCTCTTCCGGTTGTGGCCCCGCGCCCTCCTCAAGACTCCAGAGTACTGGCGATTCGTTTAAGTTACTTTCACCCCATATATATTTATAATTTTACAGTTGTAGCTAATTTAAATATCCAGTGCTATGGTATTCTTCAGATAGCAGTCTTTTTACTTAAAAAACAAACACAGAAAAATAAATGAATAAAAATAAATGTTTTCAGTAAAAGCAGAATGAGGGAGACCACACAAAGAAAACCAGCATGTGGGTATTTTTTGAGGTGTTCAGTACCTCTCAGAAAGTGTCCCTCTCTAGGTCCAGGGTAGAAATAGGTGGATGGGTATTTTTACCCATCAGAATGTGCAGTTGTAGATTGCTTGCCAGGAATAAAGATGACTGACTGGCTGGCACATGCTCAATTTAGGCAAACCACCCTTTGCCACACGTGGCATAAAAGGCAGTAACATTTGGCAGCCATATTAGGTATTGACAAAAGTGGCCATTTTAGTGGCCATCTTAGTTAAAGTCAGGAAGCCCATAAAATTTTATGGATGACAGTCATCATAGCTAATGGCAATAAGGCCACACTGTATAACCATATTGCATGAGGGAAATGGAAAGGAGGGCACAATCACATTTCTCTTTCTAGGCAGTTGGTGTTTATGTGAGGCCAATGGAACGAAGAGGCAGTTAAGTCATATCCACACCTGCCTAGGAATTTGGCCTAAGTGTCTCAGGATAGCATGGAGTTTCTCAGGTCCTAAGGACTGCCTCAAAATCTCAGCATCTTTTGCTGCAGTGGCCCCCATGAATTCCAAATTAACTGTAACCATTCAAGGAAAAGATCTGGGTGTTATGTGCAACTCAGTGGAAAGATCTGATTATTGTGCAGTGGTGATCAAAAAGGAAAACAAATTATTTGGCTGTATAAAGAAGAGGTATTCACACTGGAAGTTGTGAGCATTTGTCTGGGGGTCATGACCACCCTGCCTTTTCAAACTGCAAAATGGGAAGGGGCTACCAGATAGATCCTAGCTAAATGGGTAGGGTGCTGCTGATATACAGGTCTTAATACGGAAAATTGGCTTGCAGTATAGAAAAGGTTCAGAACTCCTGGTATAAGAATGATATCGAAAATAATATGATAGTGCAATTATATAAACCAGTATATACCTGGAACAATGGTCAGCCAATGTCAAGTAGGACACAGCAGAAACAGAGGGGTCCAGAGACTGGCAATGAAATTAAATAGCAGCATGGACAGACTTCCATATGGAAAGAGATGAAAAGAATAGGATTTAAATTTAGAGAGGAGATGGATAAGGCCCCAATCTCTCAAATACTTAACACGTGTTTATTTTACATCAGTGGGGAGATTTTGGCAGAGCCCAGGCTGAGAATTGGACAGCTATGCTCCCTTATCTCCTTTTTTACTATTCTTGCTAACTTTAAAATGTCCTTATATCTGCTTCTCGTCCCTAAATCTCTTTCCTCAAATGAATCTAAATTCTGCTGCACTTTCTACCACTTCCTCCCTCTCCCTGATCTCCTTTATTTTCTTCCTACTTTCATACAGCATACCTTAACACAGTAGCCTAGATAATAAAAACTCGCTAGAGAACTGATTTTCAACTTGTGGTATGTGGGCCTCAGTCACATGGTATATGGGTAAATTTGAGGTATAGAGTAAGAATAACAATCCACTAAAAATCGTTGATGACAATTATGAAGGTGGTATGCCAAATACTTTTGAGTCTTGGAAGTGATAAGCAAGGTCTTGAAGTTTGAGATTCATTTGTGTAGATCCATCTTGCTTCTACTATGACATACCCATTACCCTTTTATTTCCAAAATCATGCCCTCTTGTTTTTCACCTTAGATTTGACTTCCCTGTCCCTAACTCCTTATTTGATTCACTGTCACCTGGCTTCTACACCCTCCACTCCCCTAAGATCACTTTTCTTGCCAAGCACAAAGACCTTAGCTTTATTTTTTTTTTTTTGGGTTTGACCTTTCCGTTACTGTCAATCACCCCCTCATCTGCTTGGGCTTTTGATTCATCCAGTTCCTCCCAGCCTCACTGACTGTTCACTATGTCTTTTTCAAATGGTTGTGTATCATTCTCCTCACCTCTCTCCAATGGCATCCTTCAAAGCTATGTCGTTGGTTCTCTCTTCTTTCTATATATCCTGCCATGGAATGATCTTGTCTGCTACCATGGCTTCAATTTCTAGTTCTTTAACCATCTTCTGCTAGATTGCTTTAGAGAGGCAGCATAGCCAAGTGAATAAACCACTCAACTAGGACTTGGGAAACCTGGGTTCTCTTCTTGACTCTGTCGTGTTCCTTGCTCTGTGCCTATCTGTAAAATGGGGATAATAATGTTGACTTCCTTTCTAAAATGCTTTCAGACAGGCTTATGAAAAGCACTATATAAGAGCTAGGTGTTATTATATTGCTGATTAAGGTTATGAGTTTGGTATGGAAATTTTTAGTAAATTTCACAGCAGAGGTGTGGGGAAAAATACATAAGTCACTAAATAATGTAGGTTTTGCTACATCAACATACACAAGAATATAGCGTAGGTACTGAAAGGTGAGTCTGGAATGTGTTGGAGAAAGAGCCAACTTCACACTAATCCTGCAGCAGAGGCTCCTTTCCCATGCGACTAGGCCTCGATTTCTGCTCTGGGAAATGCAACCTGGTGCATGGGATCACATCACAGCATCACTCAGGTTTGGCTTGCCTGTGCCTATGGAAATGTGAACGAGCCAAACCTGAGTGGTGTTGTGACTTCGTGCCAGGTTTCCATGCCACTCAGTTTGATTGGGGGGCCTAATCAAATGTGTTTTTTACAGTCATTTCCAATATTTCACAGACAATTCAAATTAATGATTTCTGTGACCACCATGACCTGTGACAAAATTACAGCTGTATTTGATGACTCACCAATCTCTGTTCTCTCCTGGCCTTTCCTCTTCAATTCAGTCATGCTAATGTCTTTTCCAATCTTATTCTGTAGCCATCAGAAGCTGTGATTGCACTGAGACACTCCAAAATATAGACTTATTGCACAACATTTAGCAAGTAAGTGCTGTAGGTTTCATGTCATGGTGGTAAGAATGTAAAAGTTGAGGCTAAGGCAAGAAGATATAGAGGGAACACAGGGGGCTGTGAAGGGAACTAAATTTTTATGTGCATGAAAAGTACACTTAGGTTTGTAAGTGAAGTCCTGCCTTGGAGCTTTATTTAAACTAAGATGAAATGCAGCCCCATGAAACGGGTGAGTTTTTAGCAACTTCCCCACTGTGTGTGTGGAGAAAGGGCATTGGGGCCCTGCTCAGCCAGGCTCACTTTCAGGGGCAGCATCTCCGAGTCCTGACTGCTCTACCTTCTAACCTTTCCTCAGTGGAACCTCCCTCTCCAGCCTTGGGGCGATGGCTTTTCCCCTCCTCTTCCATCAGCCCCAGAGCAACAACCCCTCTTCTCCGGGAAACGCCCCTCCACCGGCTCTTCACAGAGCACAACATTCCCCTTCGCCAGCCCCTCGGGAAAGCCTCTCTCGGCCCCGCCCCACGCCACACCCTCAAAGCGCCGTCCCGGTTCCCCTCTCTTCTCCTCGCCCCCCACCCCCCAACCCGGAAGCGGAGCCCACAGGAGACATCGGGGTCAGGGCCGGGGAACAAAGTTCCGCCGCGGCTTCATTCGCCACAGCACGCAGGTGCGCGCGCCCCACATCGGCGCACTGCTGTGCGAGCGAGCCCGGCGCTTGCGCAGGAGAGGGTAGGCGGTCGCTGGCGTATGCTTCGGTCAGGCTCAGTTCACAGCGGCTCCTCCCTCTCCCGGGTGCCAGCCCTCCCTCCCCCCTTCCTCTCCCCGGCAGCGCGGCTGCTACACCGGGTAGGTTTCCAGTCACTATGGCGGCGGCTGCTGCTGGGAAGGTAAGAAGGGAGGGAGAGGAGCGCTCGCGTGCCCCTCTGCCGTTCGCTGGGCCGGGGAGCTCCGGGCCGGGGAGGGGGCCGCCAGGCCGGGGCTCAGCCTGATCGGGTTTGTTTTGGTTTTGCAGGTCAGAAGAAAGTTTTCGTTGTCGGCGGCCGCCTGAGAACGACACTGAGCGGGAGGCATCCGGGCCCGGCTTCCAGGCCTCCCCCGCAGCCGGAGCAGGGCCAGCCCCGCTGGGCCAGCGGAGACCCTGCTCCTCAGGAGAGAGCGGCAAACGGCATCCCGATGCGCAGCCACCTGCGGAGACCCTGAGCGGAACAGATCCCTCCCCCTTTGGCCGGGCGGCGGGAGACCTCCGGGAGATTCCTCCCTGAGACTTATTGTAGCTAGCCCCCGTGAGAGACACCCCTCCGCCCTCCTAAGGCGGCCCACCTCACTGAGACATCCACCCCTGCCCCTCGTCTGAGGGGCGATCCCTTCTTCTGTCAGCCCAACCTTCGTGAGCGCCTGCAAGTCCCCTGGCTGCCACTCCCCTCCCAGTTGAGGAGGCCCTCACCCCTTCAGTTCGTCCTGGAAGACCCTTCCTCTTAGTTTCTCCGGGGGTGGAGAAGAGTTTGAAGCCCCTCTCCACCCTTTATCAAATTCCATACCTGAGTGGCCAATTGCAACTCTAGCCTCAGGTCAGCTTTTTCTGGTGTAGGGGAAGAGAACAGTGCAGCTTTGCTACCTCTAGTCGAGGACCACCCACGCTACTTTATCTTAATGTCTGAAGAAAATGAAATGTGGACTGCCATGTGGATCAACTAAACTGACTGTCTTTTGTGGAGCGAATGCTTCATACGCATTCTCCATCTCTGGATCTGGGCTGTGAGGCTGGCTGGATGCTAAATGTTTTTTATCCCCTGGCTCCCGACCCCTAAATCTTTCCTTGCTTTCATGCTGCATTGGTCAAATTTTTGGTAAGTGCTGTTTACAGAAGAAGGAAAAAAAAGAAGGCAGTCTGAATCCCCAACACAAGTATTTGTGTGTGACTCATCTACTTGGATTTAAAGACATCTCCACCTTTGGGGAGTCTTGCTTCTCTTCTGTGAAGTCAGATGTTTGTTCCTGTTCTTCCTGATGAGCATGGATTGAAAGTTGCGCCTTCTAGATTTTTTCCAGGGTGCTGCTGATACTGTTAAAGGACATAATGGGGCTTTTTCACTGGATTATTGCCAGGATCAGTTTACACACTGCAACAATGAGTTGTTAGGCATCTCATGTATAGGTAACATTTGTCCTGCTTTAATGTAAAATTGTGGGGGAGATTAGGGATAAAAATTTTTGGAAGGCAGTCTGGATCAGGAAGAGTTTCTCTTCATCCCTGTTTGGCGTGACATCCCCAATCTGTCCTCGATGCCTTCAGCCTTGGCTATCTTCACTTGCCGCCCGAACTCTCACCCATTTCAGGAGCGTCATGTCTACCTGGATGAGCCTGTCAAAATCGGCCGTTCGGTGGCTCGCTGCCGGCCAGCTCAGAATAATGCTACTTTTGACTGTAAAGTGTTGTCCAGGAACCATGCCCTTGTCTGGTTCGACCACAAGACAGGCAAGGTAAGTCCGTTTGTGTTTGAAAGGGGGAGAATAATTAATGAAATGCTAGATTATTTTAATCAAGGGTCGGGTTTCTGCAAGTTCCTGTAAACTGCAACTGGCTTGAAGTTTCCCTCTAAATAGTCAGTATGGTCACATTTGAAGCAAGTAAGGTGTATGTTGTCATCAGGAATTCTGATTTTCAGTTAAATTGATAAAGCCCTGCTAAAGGAAAAGCTTGAGAACAGGATTTATTAAACATTATAAAAACATAAAATTGTTAGCAGAGGGAACTGGTGAATCCTGAAGAGTGCCCATGTTCATTGTTCATTCCTGTGAAAGCATGATGTCAGAAGTCTTATTCTATGTAATACAAAAACTGAAATTATAAAACCTGAAAAAGTTACTGTAAGCAAATGTTTATTTTGGAAACTACTTACCTTAAATTTAGATTGCATTTTTCTAAGAGAATTGTTGTTTTTCCTAAAGCACAGTTCATTGTGTATAAACAAATGTTTAGTCTTTCTAATATGTACAGTGTATTTTATATTCGGTAAAAGGCTTACAATTTTAGTGGTGAACATGTCATTTTGAGCAACTGTCCCAAAAACAAAGCATTATAAATGGCTAAAATCTGTTTTATATGGTATTCTATGTACTTGCATTTTTGAATGTTGGACAAAATATTTTACTCTTAACTTATGTGCAGTCAGGATAACATTAGCTGCAATGATTATAATGAATGGCCTATGAAATCTGCTCTCATTGCTAGTGAGATGGAGTTAAAACATGCAGTGTGTTATCTTAACCTGGGCCTAGCCTTCTCAAATAAGGATGACGGCGGTCATAAAATGTTTAGGGGCTTTGTAATACTTGTTTTGTCCACTAGGGACTGAACTGGGTTAACCAAAGCTATTTTGCTTAAGCTGTCATGTTAAATTTCAATTGCTAACTAATAGCAAAAGCTGTGCTTTGTGCACAAGCTTCAGTCAGTCAAAAAGCAGTGTGCTTTAAAAATATGTATTAAAAATTCCCTGGCCTAGTGCTTCCTTATTTGCTGCTGTTCAGTTTTGCACTCTGATGCTTCTCTTTGGAGTACTTTTCAATAATTCAGTTAATTCTAATAGAATAGTCAGGTAACCAACTGTTGTTTAAAATTGTGACCCAGCATAAGGAACCACATGGTGCAGTAAGAGTTCTTAAATCTTCTAATAATTACTGTATGTTATTCAATACTTAGGCATGATGGGACAAGCCAAGAGTTTAATTTCTTAAGGCTGGGTTGTGTCATGACTTTGAAGTTGCTTACACATAATTATCACAAACTGCTATTTATGTGAATTAATATTTTACTGGATTTTTTTATATTCTGCATAATGCAGTATATGAAATCCATTTTGGATCCTAACATGAGTCTATAAAATTTAATGTTTTCAATTTGAGATTATATATGCGGTCTTTCCTGTTTTACGTAGTGGGTTGGACTCAGTCACCTAAAATGTCTGTTCCAATCTAGTCTAGCATTTCTGATGACATTTTTTGCATATAATGCCTTCCATCCAAGTTTCTCGGAGCTTTACAAACATAATTAAGCCTCACAACAACCTTGTAAGGTCAGTGAATATTTTTACAGATAGTTAAACTGATGCACAGAGCGACTTTGATGTTGGGCAAATCAACTAAATGGATGGCAGAACTTACAACATAGGCAACTGAATTATTTTTAATCCAGAGTTGTTAGTGTTAGACATACTAACAGAAATCAAATAAATGAGTTTTTAAATTGCTTTATTTTCTTTGCATGACTCTGGATTTGTAGTGGTTTACTTAATCTTTCATATTTAAATTACAGGTCTGGATTTGCCCAAATTGGTAGTGAATAAAAGATGTAGGGATTTGATGGTGGATGGCCTGTAACATATGAGGAGCTGGCCTTGGTTAAGTACTTCTGGACAGATGTCCACATAATAAACCCATAACTGTAACTGGTAATCTTGTTGGTAGTTTTGGCAGATACCCAGGAATGAATGGAGAATCCACTACATTTTCTTTCTTGGAGGTGGTCCTTCTGAAACAGGGTTGAAGCATGCAGGTGTAACAATGTGGGGCAACTTGAATTGTATACTTGTTGTGTGGATAAATGGGGGAGTTCAGTCTCAGGGTCTGCTTGAAGTCCTATATGAGCAATAAATTGCAACAAGTTAAGGTGGCTTTTGGGGGTGGAGGGAGAATGTAGTTTTAATGATATCACAACATGATTGCCTACACCCCAGTCCCTTACAATCTGGCCTAGCAGCTATGACTGGGCTGGTGTCCCCAAGTCAAGGACAGTCATGAGGTGGTAGTCAATGAACAAGGAATTGGAGTAATTCCTAGAGGTGGGAAGGACAGGCAGGAGTCAGGATCAGCATCAGGCTGGAGTTGGAGACTGGAGAACAGAAAGTGGGGTGAGCTCTGGAGTTAGACTTCTGGCCTACTGCATAGTTGTTTAGGCAACATTCTGGGACACCATCCAGGGTTAAAGAGTGAGAATGGGCCACTTAGAAGGCTACAGGATGCTGTCACTCTGGACCTTTTGGGTGACACTTCTTGCGGTGCCTAGTCTTCACAGTGCTCCTTGGCTTTATAGGACCTCTCGGTGGCGATGTGATTACATTAGCTATCCTAAACTCTGCAGACTTGGGTTCTAGTCCCAAGGATTCTTACAATAATAAATAAAAACATTGTAGTGAAAAGGCAGCTGAAGACAGATGCATATGGTCCTTGAATTTTCCTTTATGATCAATCACAAATATTCAGCTATATTGCTTATAATTCCTTACTCTTACAGAATCTGCAGTGCTTGCACAGTGCAAACAAAAAACACAATAATTACATAATTAAACATGCTAGTAACATTTGCACACAAACACTGAAATAACAAATGGTTAGCAGAGCCAGCCATTATAATAACCACTCTTACCCAGGAATGTCATTAGCCCACCAGTGATCTAATGTCTTTGTCATACTGATTAACGTAATATGTAATCATTTCTCAGAAGCTTGCAGATGGAACAGAATACCTTATTAAGTTGACCTTTTGTGACAGTTTAGGCAGTAATTTTAAAAATATTTTATAATGGGGAGAAATTTTCATAGAAGTGCATCGCAAGTGGCATAATGATTTGAGGTACCAATAAATTAGACTGATTTTTAAACAGGAAACCATAATTTCAATCATCAACTTTAATTTTATTTTGCATTTGTGCTTTTGCACAAATTTTTTATTTTTAAAAAATAAACTTTAAATAAAAAAACTTTTTTATTTAAAAAAAAAGTTGATTTTCGATTGGTAACCAGTAAAACATATTGATGTGCAAGTAAATATAGTCTTCACAGCAAATTTGGTGCTTTTTGGTAACCAGGAATCTAAATTATATTTATACACATTTATTTAAGCAATTATATACCTCAATAGACGTTTATTCAGATTTTTAATTTTTAGTTATTTTAGAAATGTATCATTCACCATTTTCTAACTAAGATTAATTTTGTACTTGTATAGTGTCAAGTATCATGGGGTAGTCGTGTTAGTCTGTATCCACAAAAACAACAAGGAGTCCGGTGGCACCTTAAAGACTAACAGATTTATTTGGGCATAAGCTTTCGTGGGCTAGAACCCACACCCCATCATCTCAGGCATAGGCACTCTTACAGCAGGGTTATCTGTCTATTTGGACTCTCTCCTCAGACCCTACGCTACCAGCACTCCTAGCTATCTTTGAGACACCACTGACTTCCTGAGGAAACTACAATGCATTGGTGATCTTCCTGAAAACACCATCCTGGCCACCATGGATGTAGAAGCTCTTTATACCAATATTCCACATGAGGATGGACTACAAGCTGTCAAGAACAGTATCCCTGATGAGGCCCATGGCACATCTGGTGGCTGAGCTTTGTGACTTTGTCCTCACCCACAACCATTTCAGATTTAGAGACAACTTATACCTTTAAGTTAGTGGCACTGCTATGGGTAGCCGCATGAACCCACAGTATGCCAACATTTTTATGGCTGACTTAGAACAGCGCTTCCTCAGCTCTCGTACCCTAGCGCCCCTCCTCTACTTGCCCTACATTGATGACCCCTTCATCATATGGACCCATAGAAAAGAAGCCCTTGAGGAATTCCACCATGATTTCAACAACTTCCGTCCCACTGTCAACCTCAGCCTGGACAGTCCACACAAGAGATCGATTGCCTGGACCAGTCCCCACAAGAGAGCCACTTCCTGGACACTACAAGGCAAATAAGTGATGGTCACATAAACACCACCCTTTTCCAGAAACCTACTGACTGCTGTACTTACCTACATGCCTCCAGCTTCCATCCAGGACACATCACACGATCCATTGTCTACAGCCAAGCCCTGAGGTACAACCGAATTTGCTCCAATCCTTCAGACAGAGACAAACACCTACAAGATCTTTATCAAGCATTCTTAAAACTACAATACCCACCTGGGAAAGTGAAGAAACAGATTGACAGAGCAAGATGGGTACCCAGAAATCACCAACAAGGAAAATAACAGAACGCCACTGGCCATCACATACAGCCCCCAGCTAATACCTCTCCAGCACATTATCAACTATCTACAACCTATTCTGGAAAACGATCCCTCACTCTCACAGACCTTTGGAGGCAGGCCAGTCCTCGCTTACAGACAGCTCCCCAACCTTAAGCAAATACTCACCAGCAACTACATACCACACCACAGAAACACTAACCCAGGAACCAATCCCTGTAGCAACCCTCGTTGCCTACTCTGTCCCCATATCTACTCTAGCGACGCCATCAGAGGACCCAACCACATCAGCAACACCATCAGTGGCTCATTCACCTCCACATCTACTAATGTTATATATGCCCTCATGTGCCAGCAGTGCCCCTCTGCCATGTACATTGGCCAAACCGGACAGTCCCTACATAAAAGAATAAATGGACACAAATCGGACATCAGGAATGGTAACATACAAAAGCC